ACCCAGAACAAGGGCCAAACCCTAACACGATGAATCACTATTCACTCGACTATCCTATCCATTCTTCCACTTGCTAACTTGCAAGGACAAAAAAATGTTCATTCACTTTTATGTTTTAAATGTATTTAAATTATTTATCAAGTAAAAGAAATACATGAAATAAGATCATATAAGCCTTAAAAACCTTTCAAGATGGCAGATGCCAGATACGAGATAGTTTTTTTAAAATCTTTTCATTCGTGCTCAATAACACGAAAAGTGGTTAGTTTGCCTGCAGTTACAATGAAGAACTGAGTGGTTGTTGCTTAGATATCTCGAGATTTCGATTCTGCCTCCCCAGCAGTAGATCATTAAAAGATTCGGGGATATTTCTTAATTCTATCCATAAGTGACTTCCTAGAAAAAATTTCTCATCGTGCTAATGAACTTCGTTTAACCGCAAATCACTTATCACGAGGAGGTTTTTATTATTATTTAATTTGTAATAACACGAAACTTACTGAAGAATATCTTGAAATTTAAAGCGACCAGTAAATTTTCTTATTCGCATAACGACCTTTCTCGAAAAAACTCAAAATTTTTTCAATGCCACATCTGCCAGTTGCGCTTATAGAAGACCGCTCCTTGGCATACCTTTCGTATTATTTTTCTGCAGTGGGATTTACAAAAATAATCACAATGAGGAGGGCTCTTCACCCATTATGTGCATGTGCAATCCACTGAGCCATCCTATCTCCTATGAACCTGAATAATGTCTGAAGACTACGTATCGCGCGCTAACGTGTCTTTGACAGAAACGGCTTTGTCCATGCAGGCAACTTGGAACAGCTGTCAACCGTGATCGAGCAGCTCTGAAATGTGGTCAAAAATTAATTGTGGACGATTCTTCTCGAACTTCCTCACATAACTCACGAAAGTTTGCACGACAACTGCGAACAAATATTCGCAGATCGGCAAAGATAAAAAACATTGTGCAACAATAATAAAAGCAGTAAATGCTCGACGTTTTGACGTTTTACGTGAACGTCAACGAAGGCCTTTAATTATAAATTAGTTTAGCTTCGCATTTGGAAACGAAATTAAAAAACGTTCCGAAAAAAAGAACGCGTTAAATGAATAAACCAATGTAGATGAATTAAATGCGAAACAGAGTTGGCTTATTCACTATTTATAAGATTAATTTGGAGAGCATATAACGTCTTTGTGGCTAAAATTTGATTTGCAAACTGGCACATTGATTTATTTTTTATGATGGAGCCATTCTGCCCGAGGAAATGAAAAATCGAGCTTCGTTGTTTCTATAAATGACGTCCAACACGTCTGCCATCTGCCATCTGCCTTTCGCTTTCTCCTGGCTGATATGAAAAGCCTTGTAGGATTTTAAGTCCATCTAATTTTCAAGTAAGCGGTTTATAGATGCAACATCTGCATATTTTAAAATAGTAAATCTTGAAACGAATGTTTCAGTTTTCTGGCTAGTTGACAAATGACTTGGTCGATTTATGCGCTTACCAGCATGTGCAATGTTAGTGTAGAAATGCGTTTTTGTCGCTAATTATGTGGAAGAGGGTGGTTGTAGCGATTGGTTTTTTTTTAAGTTCAAACCAGAATTTTCGTTTCAAACATTTTTGTTTCCATGGAAGTATTATTTTCGAGTAAGAATATTGATTGGCTTCATTGGGATTCAAGAAAAACCATTCCACATATGAACGTAAACGAGAAAAAATGGAGAATACTTTCGTTCACAGCAAACAAAAATTTTCCTTCGTACATTCTCTGAAAAGCTATTTTCATCGGGAAAGCAAATGTCGGCTGTTCTCGAATTGGTTGCAATCAGTCGTTGGAAAGTAATTGGAAAGTGATTTCCAAATAATATTTGGGAATTATATTTTAGAAAAAATTATGCAGTTTTGCAATTTGCGATTTCCAGAATCCTCTTCTGCACTTTATTAATGATTTCTTTTAGTGAACAATTTTAAATTAATAATTATTAAATCAATAATAATGAAAATTCTTCTTCCAATTTTCAGTTTTCATTGTAGTGCTGCGTTGCTTGCAAGGGTAAAGCGGCACGGTCCGATGCGATATCTCAGTAATAGAGGCCATTTCCTTTCGCGTCGTCTAGGCCGATATCGCACTTTGAAATGCTGATGATGTGTGTCCGGGTTTTGATTGGTCCTTCTCGCTTTTCGCGCACCCATCATGCGTCAATCACAGGACTTGAGAAGAGGGGAGATGTGCATCAACCCTTGACCTTTCTGTAATTGGCGGCAAAGAACTTGGCCTAACCACCGTAGTGGCGCTCTATTATAATGCTAATGCAGATGGTATTTGAGCGAAGATGGTTTTTAGTGCCCTCGGCGAGCTTGTCAAGTGTGTCTTAAGCAAGGAAGGTGGAAGACTGGTAGCTTCTTAATATCTTCCACTTTCAGTGGGCATGTTGCGCAGCTGTGATAAGACTGTACATGTAGACTGTCCAACTGGATATATCCGAACTTTCGTTTTGATTTCACGGCGATCCCATAGAGGTTTTACCAGATGAAAGAAAGCATTTCAGTCTGCGAATGCGAACTTCATCTTATGTTTAGCCATTCTTTATAGGGTTTTATCCAAGGTTTAAAGTCTGCAAGGTCCTTTCTCCTGTTGAATTGATAAAATGATTTTTGCTCGATCGGTCGATACACTTATTTATATTTGCAGTTTTTACATTTTTACATAAATGTTACCAAAAAGGAATCAGCAGAAACATAGATTCATTCAAGATCTGTGGTACTTTTCTTTAGTTGATTTTTAAGCCTTTTGAGTATCGGGAAACAATGACCAATCGTTAGAAGAAAGTGTGGAGGAGCCCTGATGGCCACCACTCATTTCATAATTATCTATCAATTCTCTATACATAGACATCATCTGTGCCGATTTACGCTGGAAAAATCTCCTTTATGAGTCGATCTTCTGGAACATCGCCATATTTCTTTACCCACAGGACGCCACTCTATCAATAGAGTTCGGCGGCAAGTGGGTTGCAGGTGTTTGAAGCGGTGTTCCTCAGCCTGGCGTACCTGCGCCTTGATCTGAATATTTTTTCAAAAGTTCTCATCACTGTTTTTGGTTAGGCTTGCTTGTCTGACCAGACATATTTTTACCAAGGAATCACATGGCCTGAAAGTGTGGATGGATCGCATCACGCGGATTTTTTGAATGACGGATTTACTTCCGTCGAACATAGAACCCATCGAACCGTTCTAGCTCCTCTTTCTTTCTCCGTTCGGTAACTGCATCGACCGGGTTGGACTCAGAGCCTTTCTCCTTTCCCAATGATAATGGTCCCCCTGGTCTAAATTGGAACGCATTGTTTTCTTTCGTACTGCCACAAATTTACCAAAGGGGAAATTTTTCTCAAAGAAGTTTAGTTTCTTCGATAGTTATTAGAGTATATATCGTATCACCTTTAAGATTGAAAGTTTCGGATCGTTTTGCTTCAGTCATCTGGTATTAATTCTTTGTCCTAGAAAATATCCACTGAAGGTGACTTGTGCAGGGCAGCACTTAATCTCCTGTGGAAGCTTTATTGGCTTTAAGCTTCTGACTGATGGCGATTATTTCTTGCTCTATTGGCGGCTTTGCAAATATATGGTTCAGCAAGCATTCCAGATGTGTCCGGAATGACAAATGCCAAATGATTAAGCTGAGTTAAGTTTTGCAAAGAATTCATTTCACCATACAAGTTTTTAATACCCTTAACGGGCATATCATTTTTTCAGATCATTTTACTGATCCTGAGTTATAGTTATGTGAAGAAGGCGGAATACTTCCCTATTCCTGAAAAAATATGTAAATGATATTTAATAATTATTAAATATTCCATAAATGTTTGTTTTTTATCTAATGAATGTTTATATCTTCTAGAAGTTTGCAGCTTTGCTGGCTAGATTGACTTAATCACTCGATCCGATGCCATGTGACTCGAGCCATATCTGAAATTAAAAGATTTTTTTGAAGCGCTATTTCCATCGTCTAAGCCTCCCTTCCTCCTGGTATATCGCTGGTTTCTTGTTCGTTCCAAATTTATATTGGTCGTATCCCACGTTTTGATTGGAGCTTTATGTATTTGACGTCACATAGCGTAGGGTTAATAGGGTTAATTGCGTCAGTCCCATAATGGGCAGAGCAGCAAAGAAAATGGCCTAACCAGAGTCAGCTGCGTTTATGATGGTATGATACAGTCGCTATTCGAACGGAAATTGATGGAATCATGTAGGATGTACTTTTTAGTTGCGGCTATGCCTACAGGAATTTTTAACCATTTACTATACGAGTAGATAAAAGATATCTAAAAATTTAATATTAATTATTAACTTCTATTATTTTTATTGCAGTTTTACAGTTCATCTCGTAACCTTGTTTTTTTTGCAGAATGATTTCACAATTTTGTTTTATTTCTGCATCTTTTATCTTGTTTTATTTTGTTTTATTTTATTTACATTTTAATTATTTTGTTATTAATTTTTTTCATCCTTTGAAATTGAAATTTTTCCTGTTTCATGCCTTGCAATTTTATTCTATTTTTTATTACAATTACTGTTGTGACTTAATTATTTGCTACAGTTTTATACTTTATTTATTCACAATTTCATGATTTATTCTCAAAACTAATTTGAATAATTAGATGGTAAATTTATCTCAATTAAATTCTGCTGACTTTTGCGAATTGGATTTAAAGAATTCTGAAAATATTTGGATAGATTTTTGGACGGGTTTTGAATGGATTGATCTGTTATGACAGAATTGAGTATTTAGCTTTAGATTTCATATTTCGGATTTATTTCCTCGTTAAAAATCTTTTCAATTAATCAATTAAAAATCAATTAAAAATCTTTTTTTTAAGATTGGAAGAGTGTATGCATTTTTATTACGAAAATTTACTAAACATTTAGAGTTATTTTTTATTTTTTTATTGGTATTTATTGAATAATAGGCTTTTTTAAAGTATATATTGAATAATGGGCGGTAAAGACGCTAACGATCAAAAAGTTCGAGCAACTCAAGATCAATTAAGGCTAGCACGAATCACACAAGAGGTTAATCCTTCTGATGATGATCGTGTGATGGTACAGAAGCTCATAAAAAAGGTTATTATTTTATTCTTCCATGAAAAATTATTCGTAATGAGGAGGAAAATTTCGATATTGATGAATTGTGGGCGTCAATTTTGAAATTTGCAACTAGAAATTTTCAGGTTGTCGAAACGACACATTGTACAGAGAATGATGCGGAAATAGCACTTTTCGATACAGATAATAACGTTGAAGCAGCAGTAAATGCTATTTTAGAAAACGTTTATTCGGGAAAGAATGTATGGATGGAACAAAAAAGTCGGAAAGCAAAACGCGCGGAGGCGGAAGAACGAACAGACGATTTTCAATCGTCCAACCGTCCTAAATTGTTTAATAGCCCACGTGGTAGCTTTTTCCCACCAAATTAAATGTTTGTTTTTTTGTTTAGAACTAATCCTTTTTTTAAGGAGCCGGGCGAGGAAAGGGTTCAGAACGAGGACGTGGTGGTTACAGAGGTGGGCGTGGAGGCGGAAGAGGAAATTTTACTCGTGAGGGATATAATTCTCAAGTAGCAAATATAACAAATAACAATGTGTGGGATAATTCTATGGCATTAAAAGTTGAAAACAAAAAATGGTCGAGTGATGCAGTGAGTATTGATGACATTCCAGAAGATACAGATTGGGTCAGTGTTTTTTTTAAAAAATCTTTCATTTTTTAATTAATTTGGCTGCTTTGAACGAGATTTGATTCATATTTTGGTTTTAAATTCTTCATATGACTGTACTCAATTTTTTTCAAGGTTTAATGTTTACGATTGTATACTATTATAAAAACTTTTGTTGCTAAATATATTATATAATTTTGGCTAAGATTTATGTTAAAAAGATAGTTCTTCTAAAAAAGTTTGAAAATCCTTGGAAAATCTCGAAATTTTTTTTGCTTAATCACTGGATCAAATTGTTATGGAATTTTTCATATCCAATTATGTGGAAAAAAGGAAACAGATTATACCTTTTTATACCTTTTTCTTAATAAATTTATTTCCAGAAATCGGCTGGAACGTTGATCTTTTCTCGAAGGGATGAAGTTTTAACACCACCAGAATCGGTGTCGACACCGTCTTTAATTACTGGTTCCGTTACTACTTCTGACGCGCCTATGGTTTCTTTTGCTACAGTTGCTGCGACCGGTTTATGTTGTACGAATAATCAAAAAGAAAAGCTTGCAACAGGACGATATATTTCGTCGAATAATGCTATCCCCCAGCAACAATCCATTGGAAATTCAGTCAATCAAACAGGGGAGAATGGTCCTATATATCATAGGCTAGCTTTTATGTTTGATTTTTCATCTCCTTAAGAGAATATCGCTATTGCTGCTCTTTTTCTGCAGGCTCTGAGCTTTTTTGAATTTCGGTACAAATTTTTCTAACCAAGAACAAAATGCCTATATTATTTTCTCTCGTTCACAAAAATAATAAAATGAAATGAAAAAATTAATACAGTCATGTATTTTAAAAATTAGGAAAAAAATTATGAGCATTCTTAAGAGCAGTTGAAATTGTATCATTGTAAGAATCATTTTTTATATCGTTCAAATAATATGATGCCCTTAGACACTGGCTTTGTGCTCTATATCTATCCCATAAATAATTTTCCATATGATAACATATTTATTGATATATTTTCTAATGTTTTAAAAATTTTTTAAAAATTTTTATGAATTTTTAAAAATTTTTGTGAATTATGTATTTCAGTTCTACAATGGTTTCTTCAAGCAGTCAGTTGGCCGTTTCGTCAGAAGCTATTAATGAACATGATCGAGGAGCCCGTTCCCCGTCCAGTTCTATTTGTCGCGGACATAATCTTCCAACCGCATCGCCAGCAGTTATTACCTCGGCATCTCAAGTTTCTCGTATCGATAATGTTTCAACAAATAACTCTTCGACAGATTGGACAACACAATTAAAAAATGATCTCGGTATTGGCACGAAAACAGCACAAAGTTCCCAGTCTGTTCGAAAAGCGAGTGATGCAAAACCCTCAGTCCAAGGACGAATCGGGTCACGAAGCGTAAACACGGTTGAATTTGTATCTGGTGATATAAATGGTTCATCAGCGTTACCTGAATATCAATTTGGATTCAATGTTGATGCGACGGCAGGTGGAGATGAAGTTAGTGGCGATGTTTTTTCGACAAAAATTAAAGATCGACAATCCAATAACCCATCTACCAAAATAGAGGTGATTTCCATTTCGTTATCATGGTGGCTTCTATTCAGGATATGACCGGAATTTTACGAATATATTTACGAGAATTTCGAAATTAGTTCTCATTTTGCTAGAGTCCCAGTTTTTGACTTCATAATTATATTTAAAATATAAAAGTTTCTACTTATCCTATAAAATCTTTTTTAACAAAATCAATTTTCTTTTAATTTCCTTTTTTGTAGAGCGAGGCGAATAACGGATCAGCTTCATTATTAATGAATGGCACCGTTGGAGATTATACATCTTCTATCTCTAAGAATTCACCATCTCAGGTACCAATTTACTTTGTGTTAAGATGCGAAAACTGCAAAAAACCGCTGTGATTTCATTGCATGGGAAATGAGTATGATCCTTCCCATTGTATTAACGGTTTTACTTATTAAATATTAATCAGTCAAAATCTTTAGAAGTTTATTTGAGGGTGCTGCACCAAGTTCTGGGGGTAGCGGTGGTATTGCATCAGTATCAAGCCAAATACATCCATCCACTGGTGTCCAGCGACAGCCTCCTTCCGGTCTTTCTTATGCTGATACATCAATAATGTCGTATTATCCACCATCTGACAATCGTTCTAATGCTGCTTTAACAAATAAGCCGTCGCAAACTTTGCATCATCAACAGCAGGTTTATTGAAATTTTTGTTTTCTTCTCAGTAACTGCAATTATCCTTGTACTTTATATTTTTTTTTTGAGATTTAGTTGGGCAGTATAGTATGTATAGAATTTTAAATTTATCAGTTTGTCGTTTTTCAGCAGCCTCACCAACCATTATACACTGCTGCTCAGATTCCATATGGCAGCTATCCATATTTGAATATGTATAGTCCAGTTACGGGTGTTCGACAAGATGAAACACAGTATGCCGCTACTGCTCTTGTTCAGTATCCATTTGGTTATTATTTGGATCTATTACGACTATATAACATAAATATAATATAAATATGCACTTCTTTTTTTTCTACAACAGTTATGTGTCATATAGCCAAAAGTTCGTTATTTAATATTTGAAAAACAACTGAAAACAGTGAGCATGCGGCAGTATCAGAAAATAATGAAAGTATCATGACGGTCACATCACTTTTGTAAAATTTGTAAAATTAGATCGGATGATAAAATCGTTTCTGTGTCGAATATAGTTGTAAATTATCCAAATAGAAAATGATGTATAAGCTATAGCAAGTATAGGGTGACTATTGTTATTTATTAGTTTAAACTTGTCACCTGCGCAAGTAATTTTAAAATTTATAAGGCATTTGTTGAAAGAACAAGCGACAAGCAAAAGGAAGAAGATGGATCAGAAAATTTATGTCAGGAAATTAGACACTTGGAAGATATTCGCGAAGGAGAATCATCTGTCATTAAATTGAGGAAAAGTCTCGTTGGATTCACCTCGATCATGGTAGGAGCTTTTAGAAAAGCTCCATGCAAATGGCAAAACAACCGTACATTTGCATTTCATCATCTGGGAAAAAACTATAAGCTGTATGAACTGAGTTCGTCATGATAGCACTGCTTGTAATAACAAACTTCAGCGGTATACGATCCAACTCATCAGTGCTTTTAGAATAATGAATCATTTTGGATTTTCATTGGTTGTCCTAGTGATCATGTGGCCTACACCAAAGCCCAGCAACTGAAAATTTTGTTATTTTGGTGCATTTCAGTTGGTCTATTGCGAACTTCTCGTTAGTGGTTAAAAAATAGTACGGACGTACATCTTCGCTACAACTGTAAAAGGATAAGATGCACTGCTTTGAAGAGTATCTGCACTTGTTTATTGGAAAGGTTTTGTAGCTGTTCAAGACAACACTTGGCCGCACCCAGCGTGAATGATCCGAGTTAAGGTCGAGAGCTTTAGTAAGGAAATTCTATGTTTCTCAATGTCCAATTTCTTTTTTCCTTATGTTTGAGGATCATATGCGCAGCCGGCATATCCTAAAGGGAAATGTCCTAAGAAAAAAATTGATTACATTATTTGCTAAAGATGGGCATTTACAAAGCATTTACAAATTTTTATTTTGTTGAAAAAAGATTTAAAAACGGTGGTGCTTATTTTTTTAATATTTTATTATATTTTTCATTCGTATGTTTTTATTTATTTTCCTTTGTTTCATTTTAATTTAGTTTCTCTTTCAAAGCACTTTGGATTACTTTGATTGCCAATGTTTTATACTTTCAAGAATTTTATTTTCTTCTTAAATTTCTTTTAGCTCAACAGCTAACTATGTGAAATGGATTTTTATGATTGTGATTTTTAGATGTCTTTTCTTTTATTCCTTACAGAGTTTTAAGGTGTGGGTCAGATTGATATGAGTTCTTTATCGACGATGCTACCGCCAGCGGCGATAGCATCACAGCAGCCTAATCAGCCGCCTCCACCTATGCAAGGACAGCATCAGCAAAGGCCCGACCAACATGGCAATTTTGTTGATTTAAAAGTGAGATTCGTCTTGAAGTATATTTGCGCTTTTTTTCCATATAGCTAGTATTTATTTGCTGTTTTTGGTTTCGTTTTCTCCGATGATTACTGGGATAAAACAGAAGGGCATTTTGTCTGTAAAAAATATCAATGGGATCACCATCTTTGAGATTTGCGGTTTTTTGGTTTATTTTTCTGGAAAATTTTAATGGTTAGAGGATCTTTAGAGATTTCGATTCTTCAAATTTTTGAAGATTTCCTTTGCAAGGTCATCAAACAATTTGTTTGTAATTTATTTCTTAGTTACTTTTAGAAATCTCGAAAAGACTGCTAATGTTATTTATTACTCCTATTTTTTTATCAGGCGTATGCAGCAGCTGCGAACAATACAGCAGGTGGAGGTTCAGGTTCTGGATTACTTGGTGCACAACAACAAAGGGATTCTTCGGTCAATAATTCGGCTGTTGCGCCGCCACCAGGTTTTAGTGGGCCACCATCAAATCTTCCAGCAGCCTTTACTCTTTCCCAGCATAATCATCTGTCTTCACTTTTTCAAGTAAAATATAATTTCATATTTGGTTTTTAAGGTTAGTTGAAGAAGCAAAAATTTTCTTTAGAATATTTCATTTTTTTGAAGATTGGTGATAAAAGTGTCGAGTTGACTTTTAGAGGGGTAGTCTTCAAGATCGTTTAATTAAAATGCTGTTTTTTATCATTTATCAAAATTCTCGCTGTAGATGCAACCGACTTATCATCCATCATTAAGCCAAGTACCATTTTCGTTTATGCTTCCTAACGTTAGTGGTAATGGTCAGCACAAAATTGGGCATCAGATTTTTCCACAGCAAAACGTAGATGAAACGATGGTCGATCAAAGACTCCCTGCACAACAGCAAAAGGTTATATTACTTTATAATTTTTGTTTTAAATGTGGACAAATATTTTACAAAGTTTTTAGTTTTTTTTCTATTGATATTAGTAACTGATTTCTCAGACTGCTTTACTGTCTATAACTATCGCATTTGTCGATTCTATAGGGAAAAAAGATTGCTTGAAAACTACATTAACAGTAGAATTTTCTCTTAGGTGTATAGTGCAGGTCATCAACAAATGGAGAAATATGGTAACACTGGTGGAACATCTAAAGATCGGTTAAATAGTGGTGCTCAGGCAACACCACCACCTGGCATTTATCAGCAGCAAGGATATTTAGCACAACAAATACCGCCGCATTCTCATAATAAGAAAGCATACGGCAACGGGCCACAACATTGGGGTACAAACTAATACACTGTGCGTCTTCATCAAGGCACCTCTTTGCAATATTCGCCACTGGATTTTTAAAAATATATTTATGCTTTCATTTTCGTCAACATTTTATATCTCAGTGAAATGTACAACGAATATAAAAAGGAAAATAAAATTTTCATCTTAATTGAATAATTTCTTTATATTTCTTTGCCTTCCGTATATCAAAAAATCAGATGTGATTTACATCGCCGAATCTTTTGCTTAAGTTGTAAAAAAGTTTAAAATTTTTTTTAACCATGAAGATAGTATGGTTTTTTTCAAATTGTTGAATTAGATAATCAAAAAAAAATCGTTCGCGCTCGCTATTTCTGATTAGGTTTCACCAGTTGTTAGTAAAATTCGAAATTTTGGCAGGAGAATCCTCTGGAGGTTCTTTATCATTTCACCAGCACGGTAAGAAGTTTCCTTCAGAGACGAACGTGGGGTTTTGAAATCAGACAAATAGTGCAAAATATATTTCTGGTTAACTGCATCTAAATCTACTCACCTTCATTTCATTTTGAGAGCTAATTTCTTGTATCTGCCTATTCTTATTTTGAAAGTTTTTTGAGAGGCCAAAGTTATTTCAGTCATTTCAATAATTTTAGCTCTTAATTTTGGTTCTTCATTTATTTATAATTGCATATCGGACATATTTGAAAGGTGTGATCGCAAAAATTTCGAAGAAATCGAGATTTTAAGGAGCTATGTTATGTAGATTTCTGCAATTAAATAAGCGATGCTTGTCAAATCAACGATTGGCAATCACATCAACAGAATTTGTCGAACGTCGACAGCGTATTATTGGATGTGTTAAAGAACAGACTTCAAATATCTCAAGCAATAAGCCAATAGTGGTTGTTCTTCACGCTCCAAGTCGGCAGTTTTGTGCTCCGGATGTACCTTATTCTTTTAGGCAGTGCTCGTATTTTCGTTATTTCACTGGTTTAGTAGAACCTGATTCAGTTCTAATGATTACTGCTGAACCAGGCAAAAAATCATTATCAACTTTGTATATAAATCGTTAGTTTTCATTTTTTTGGATTTTTATTTCTGGTTTTGGTTTTAGCTCTCATTTGGCTGATATTTATAATATAAAATCGAGTTAAAATTGGCATTGCGTTTTTATTTAGGTCGAAGTGAACAAGAAGAACTTTGGGAAGGTCCAAATGAAAGTCATGAAGCGATCTTTAAAACTTCGGGTATTAGCGATATTCAGGATAAGCAAAAGTTTATTCCAGATTTGGAAAAAATAATTCGAAATTCAATAGCTTCATTCGACATGAAGCAATTCTATTTGAAAGATCAAATTGCTGAGGTTAATTTGTTTGAATTTCAATTTTATTTACTTTGATGCTCTTTTTATATAGTTTGATATTTTTAATAATCTCTTTATCCGCCATTTTTATGGAATTCATTATGATTTACAACTCAGTTGGCTGTCCAGATTTTGGTTATTTATCGGCTAAGTGGTGCACATTTGCGATAGCCCTCGCGTTTTTTTCATCGTCTTTCTATTTTTTTCTATCACTTTTTCATCTGCATCTTTTCAAATCTTTTTTTCATCATTACTTTGCTTTCGTCGTATTTTTCATAATCTTTTCTACTATTTTTTTCATTTGTCCTAATTCTATAACCTTTAACTACCATTACAACTACCATTTTTTCATCAGTGATTTGCCCCACCTTATAATATTCCTGTCACTGCATCCTTTCCTTATTTCCCTTTCCCTACCAATGAATAACGATCTTTGCCATTCGTTAAACGAAAAATTCTAGATTTAAACCATTTTGCAGTGACAAACCTTACTTTTGACTTCAAATTGTTTGGTTTGGTAAAATGAATGTTTAGCGATTATAATTTCTGGTGGTCTGGCTGAACTGGCTTAGTACGATTAAAAAATTTTGCCAGAGAGTCATTTCGGATTGAAAACGCTGATGGCTTGCCACTACCGCAAAGACAGGGTAAGTTCGCTCTATCCGAAGGCGGAAGAAAAGTCTTCAGACGTTGTGAAGGCGATAATTTGAGCAAAAACAGTTGGCTATCTTACGAAAGGTGTACTTTTTTCACTGGAATCTAGAATTGATTAGAAAATCTAGAATTAATTCGACTATTTCTTCCATCCTCTGGAGCATATTTCGATGATGGATATTTTAGATTATCAAATTATTTACCAGCATTTAGATTCCATTATTTTAGGTTAATTTAAATTTCAGCTATTTTCTTATAAGAAAATTTCAGCCACTGCGTAGCAGCATCATCTGTATGTCGTAACATTCGCTAGATGGTGTTTTAATTTTTGTAATAAGCTATAATAATAAATTTTGATTTTATTGCTTCAAAGATAATTTTTTTCCATTTGTGATTTGTGGAAAAAAGCTATCGATTTCAGTTTATTTCCGTTTGTTGAGTTTTTTAATTGTTTTTTATTATATTATTTTAGCTTCTAGCAACTTCGAGCTTTGTGATACCATTGCGCGAAATTGTTGATACGTTACGCTGGATTAAGTCTCCAACAGAACAAAATTTGATGCGAAAGTCGTGTCGAATTGGATCCCAAGCTATAAATGCTATGATATGTAACAGTCGTTGCGTAACAAACGAAAATGAAATCGTAGGTCGGCTAGAATTTGAGGTTCGACGGCGTGGTGCTTCATGGCTTGCCTATCCTCCGGTTGTAGCTGCAGCAGACCGTGCCAATATAATACATTATTTAAACGCTGACCAGGTTTAATATTTTTCCTGAATTTGATACGAATTACTTCATAGTAAGTGACAAAAGCGAGATGCCAAGTATTAATTTATGCATGCTATTGATTTATTTATCTATTGTTTAAATGCCAGTCAGATTTAATATTTTGAAGAGAATTATATTATAAGAAGAACAATAAGTCGGCTGCCGTTGATTTGCTTGTTGCCAAAAAAATAATGACACAAATTTTACGAAAAATTTTACTTTATTTTAATTGACTTTTTTGTGATTTACCTGATGTTTTCTAGACTATAAGTGAAGGCGACACAATACTAGTTGATGCTGGCTGTGATTATCAGGGCTATATCAGTGATATCACGAGAGTTTTCCCTTGTTCTGGACAATTTACTCCATCACAGCTTATGTTATATAATACGCTTCTTGATGCTCATTTATTTCTTATAAAATTTGCCAAATCAACTCGTCCACTTAAATTGAATGATCTTTATTTAGCTATGATAGATAAACTGGCGAAAAATTTTAGTGAAATCGGTTTATTCACTCGAAATTTAAGTGAAAACGAACTTTTCCATGTATGTTTTTATTTTTTATTTATTTTGTTTATTTTCCCTATGTGTGGTCATGATCTTAGCTGTTATTAGCAGTATGTTTCTAGAAAGTCCGATGTTGTTCCTGGAATATCCTGAAGCTGCTTTTCTGAAGTTTAGGGATCACAGCTCCAAGTACTCCAATTATTATCATTGGAATTGCTTTTACTTTCCACATCTTCCTTAGTTTCTATTTCAATCCCTGATATATTTCTGACTTCTCATATTCCTTGCTACTAGGTACTAGGTATTGCTATATCACTAGTAATGATTTCATATTTTTCCATTACCACGATATCTGGTTGATAGGCCAGTATTTCACCACTATATGCAATATCTTCTTCTTCTAACAGCTCTCACCATTACGGCCTAGGTTGGCTTTAAGGGCTACAAGAGTAAGACACTTCCAAATGGCGCGGTCTGAAGCCATCGTCGATCGTCTAAGTCCATATATTGTTGGTCCACCTATTCGTTCAAAATCTTTCCTGACTTTCCTGACTGTATCAGTCCAGGTCTTGATTGGTCCACCTCGCTTTTGACGCCATCCATCACACGGTTTAGCAAGTAACGAAATATGCGACAACTCTTGTGGTGGACAACGTAGAACTTACCCTAATCACCGAAGGGCGACGCTGTGTAATAAAATTATAAATACAGGTGGTGTTTGAACGAAGGTGGATGCGATCATGTGATATTTTATCCGCTCGACGGACCCATAAAATATACCTTAGACAAGAGTGGTCGAAGGTAGATAATTTCTTAATATCCTCCACTCTCACTGGCCATGTCTCAGATCCATATAGCAAGATCGAACGAATCACGGCTATATAGACTTTTGTTTTAATGGTAAGTTCACGACTGCTCCATAAAGTTTTCGTCAACCGGAAGAACGCATTTCTAGCTGCTGTGATCCGGGCTATAATATCATCTTTTGCCTGGCAATTTGGTAGAGTGGATTCAAGGTATTTAAAATCAGACACTTTCTCGACCTGCAATGAATTTACAAAAAGGGGTATTTTATTAGCTTATATATAAGACGAAAATACTTTCGTTTTGTATATATTGACTCTGAATCCTTACTGCAGTTTCTGACACATTATTTAGTATTACTTGCATTTCGTCATAATTGTTAGCAAAAAGGACTACATCATCAGCGTATTCAAGGTCTGTTATACGATACTCTGGACTGATTCAGATACCTCTTGAGTGTCGGCAAGTGCTGTCCATTATCTAGTCTATCGCATAGTTGAATATTGTAGGGAAAAGGACGCATTCTTGACGGACACCAGTTCTTATTTGGCAGGAGTTTGCCAATTCCCCATATACACAGACCTGCGCCAACGTATGCTCATAAAATGCCTTTATGAGTCGAATGATCTTCTCTGTCACCTTCGCATTCCATTACCCTCCAAAGCGCCTTTCTTTCAATTGAATTAAAGACAGCCGCAAAGTCGATGAAACACGTGACAGTGGGCTGAAAATATCTGAAGCGATGTTCCAACACTCTTCTTAACGTGAATGTTTGGTCAGCACAACAGCGCCTTGGTCTGAATCCAGTTTGATTAGAGCGCATCCTGCTATTTCGTACTTCCATAAGTCTGTTGAGTAATAGGGAAGCAATAATTTTCGCTGAAATATCTAGTAGGCTGATTCTTTGAAGGTGTTATGAAGGACGATGGACAATATTTAAAGAGTTCAGCCCGAAGACCATCTTCTCCCGGAGCCTTATTGGCCTTAAGCTTATTGATAACAGATATTATTTCTTCTTCTGTCGGGGGCTCGCAATTACTAGCGTATGGTTCAGCAAACGCAACTCTTCATGGTTATGTTTGGCCTCAGAGAAAAACATCTTATGAGGCGATCCTTAATACTCTTGATTGCCACGCCATTGCTGTCCATTACCATTTCACTGATCGTTCCTAGAATTATAATTGCTTTATGAAGAAGGCGTAGTTTCCTATTATCGCCTAATCGAACCGCTGCCTCCATTTTTGAGGCTATATCACTCCAATAGTGATTTCTGTCCCACTGTGCTGCTTTCGTTGCAAATCTTCGAAGTATCCGGTAGTTAGGATCACATGACATGTTTTGGTAGCTTTATCAAATAGTTGTACAATTGCTTTAGATACCCAAATAGTACATTTCGTACTAGTATGCCATAGCTTGGAAATAGCTGACTTTATGAGACATTCCTTTAGTTTGGACCAGTATTCATTTGCCGTTTCAAAAAATTATTGATATTTGTACCACTAAGGTGCTTCAATAATTCAATTTGAAATGCACTCACTGCCCCCAAATTTGTTAGCTTGAGATAGTTGAAGGATCTCGGGAATGCTATTTTTTGCGGCCTGCCAACTTTATCCTCTTGGCTTGAACCATAACATGGTCAGATCCATGAAGATTGCAAATTTCAGCGTCGCGGTAGAAACGACTATCTAGTACGGAACTCTTCCAACGGCGACTAAGATATAATCAATCTGGTTGAAGTGTTGGTTATCCGGGGGAGTTCCAGGCGACTAGATGTTTTCTCCGATGCCGAAAGCATTTATTAGCAACAAAGAGTTCTAAGAGTTTTAAGAAATGAAATTTATTTAAAAGGCATGCTCTTCGGGATAACGAAGAAGGCATTTTCCATTGGTGCACCGTTCTCCGCTACCATATTTGCCAATTATCGAGATCATCGCAGTGGCATTATGACCTATGCACGCATTCCAGTACACCCTGATTATGATCATGCCATATTTCGGTAGAGGCTTTGTTAGCAATTGAAGTTCCGCATGGAACTTATCTTTATCACAGCCATCTGCCGACAAAGTCAGAGCATAGAAGACACTGATGACCGAGATATTGCAGAACTTACCTTTAAAACGAAAATAGGCCATATGGTCCGGTTTCCACTCAGTCAAAGCGGAATAGGCTTTATCAGACATAACAATCGCTACGCCATTTCACTCCGAGTTATCCGAAGCACCACAGTAATATAGCCAGTATCTTTGCTCCGAGCCAGGATTAATAATCATTCGAGATCTGAAATTAGGAAGATGGACCTCCGACAAACAAGCGATATCTATACAATATTTAGAAAGGGTGTGGATAGTGATTGCAACGTCCATAAGCGTTTTGACATTCCACATTGATGCGGCTAAAACCTCGCCACGCGTGCAGAGAGCTGTTCTCCTTGATAGGTATCGAGCAATTATCCTGGCTTGCGAGCACATTTTATTTATCAACCTTGGGATTGCTTTACCCGGATGTGCACTTATCGCATGTACCACTGGGCTGGGAGTATCATGCGCGTTGGCAGACGCAGACGCCGTATCAAAAATATCTAACCCCTTCAATATAAATATATATATACTTAGGTTACTGATGAGTTGTGTCCGCATCATGTGAGTCATTACCTTGGCATGGATGTTCATGATACAGCTTCAGTGCCTCGAAATGTCGCTTTGGTGCCGGGTGTAGTTTTCACGATTGAGCCAGGTAGCTATTGATAAATCCAAGTTAAAGTAAACTTAGTAAATTTTCTAAATTTTACAGAAACCGTTTTATAGATACTTTTTGATTCGATAGCTAATGCAGGGTGTTAATTGTATTGTTAGTTATTATCATTTTCATTTTTATGATTATGAAAATATTATTTATGGTTTTACAATTGATTTCATTAAATGAATTTAGGTATTTATATTAGAAATGGCAATGATTGGGTGAAACGGGAATTTCATGGCATTGGAATGCGAGTTGAAGATGATCTTTTGTTAACTGAAAGCGAAGCAGAAGTGTTGACCGATGAATGCGTAAAATACGCAAGTGATATAGAAATTTTAATGAAAAGATATCTTATTCAAGATATTTAATGTTATTGCTATGGTCACTTTGTTAATTTTTGATCCTGACTTGAGTATAATCCTCAAATTAAAAAGAATTTTTAAAGATTAACATGAAAGTGAGGAAATTAATCGTCAACATTAGTATAAGGAAAGTAATTTGCAGTTTTTGATTATTTTTTTGGCTTCTAACTGTTTTTTAATGGAATTTTACGAAAAAATTTCATACAATTTAATGCAATTCAGAATAGATAAAGAAATCAGTAGGTATATGAACCATGCTTGATATGGTAATTTAAATAATGCAACTCTTGGTATTTGATTTTGTTTTAGAGTCAATTTTCCGATCATGATCTCTATTGTTAGGATGATTTTTGTAATAAAAGTTCTATCTTTATTAATAAATGATATTGGCTACTATGTTCGACAGAACATTTATTTTTATATGATGCCAGTCATTTATGCACATATGAATAATTAGTCCTGTAAAATGTGGAAATATTTTTTAATATAAATTTTGCAAAACAGATTTTGGAAATTCATCTTCATCTTTATTCATCTTATTTGTTCTACAAATATGTGAACTGAATGTATGGGAAGTGGCACTTTGCCTTAGCTAAGTGGCAGATGATCGTAGGCTCGTGGGATCATCCGGAAGTAGACGCAAAGCGTTCACAGCGTCATCTGGATTTCTAGGTGTTTGGGTTACTATCGTCAAGGGGATATTCATAATCACTATTTCCTAAAAGCTATCTGATAATCTTAATTGAATATTTTAAACAAGATGAAACTGACCTAACCAACGCAATAGTCAGACTTGGGTCTGGATGGTATTTAATCCCGTTGTAAAATTGTAAAATAATAAATCTGCAGTGAAACATTCGTAAAACTATGTTCCCTTTCTATAGCCGTTGTAAAAATGGTGATAATTTGATTTGCAATTTGCTAAGCATCTAGCATGGAAATTGTAAAAATTAGAGAGGAGCCGATCGAAATGTTCCCATTTCGTATAAATCATTTCGAATTCGATTGCTCGTATTTACGTGATATGAACTGGTAGGTGAGTGATTTGATAATTGCTGATTGGTTTCCCAAACAACGGTGCCATCTTTATCGTTATGATCAGCATCTAGATGGTCCTTGGTGCGCCTTTCGATTTTCTTCTTAATTTGACTTCTTTGCCATAATACAGCAAGAAAAATTACTAATATGAGGAAAATGATTATTGAGCAGGCCGAAAAAATGATATGCCGTGAATAGCCTAAAATTGAAGAATTTGGAACTTGATTAACAATAAATAAAAAATTCGTATTCTACATTTTAAAGGGACAGGATGGTACAATGGTTGTTATTTAGATTTTCCGTGCCTCAACTCAGCAGTAAGAAACCTGTCGTTAAAAAAAAATCCTGATCTACCTATAATTTCTGTTGCCAAGGTACTCCCCAAGGTACGCAAAAATTTCTAACTATATAGCCAGCTGAGCCAACCTAAAAAAACAATAATCCTCGTAGAAGTAATGCGACTGCAGTTTCTGTTTTAATAGTAAATAATACAGTAGTAATTGAGATTATTTTCACATTTCATATTTTTTCTAACAGCGCCCACCTATTTCTGGTTGGACTTGCCTTCCTAGCCTTGCCGGGTCATATAAATTTTGCCAGAGAGTCAAGTGGGTTGCCAGCACCATATGGATTTTTGAAAGGCGAATTTACTCTTGTCAAAGGCAGTAGGGACCTCGGCATTAATACTCGGAAAGGAAAGCAATAACCCACTGAGCCCTTCATTCCACTCCACATATTTCATTACTAATTTCAAATAAATAAAATAGATTTTAAGTAAATGAATTGGAAATTTAGCAATTTTATTTTTAAATAAATGTGTTTAAATAATTTCAGACGATATTCTAATGAATGCTTACAGTATTGTTCATCGCTGTTATCATTTTCTGCACAATTGGGTACACCGTTACATAGCAATGATTTATTGATACAAAGCTGACTTCGACTTGCACAGACATTGCGGCCATCATCGATACAAAGATCACCTCCTTTGCAAGCGAAACCCTTCAAAGATTAAGAAAAATTTTAAAAACTCGATAATTCCTTACTGCTGTGCATCTTCATAAATAAAATTTAATTATATTGTTGAAGTAATTATATAGTTGAGCTAGTGCGATTTAAAGAAGTTCAAATGCAGAGAAGCACATTTTTCTCCTTCTTCTAACGACCTTCTAAAAGTTCACACCATTTCTGGTTTGGTTGACTCCACTGACAGTCCAGCAAAAGGGCACGTGGTGATGGGCAAACTCCCGACTTCACACTTTACACTCCCGGCTTCCACTTTTAATGGCAAGATTTATTTCCATCAAGAGGAATCGGATACATATCCTCAGTAGAACCAACTTACCACTCGACTACCCTACTTCACGAGACTACTTTATATTATTATAATGACAAAAACTAAGCAGTTTATTTATGAGTAGTAAATAAGTTCAAATGAAAAAATAAAGAAATTTCACATTGCATAATTGCCCATCGCTTAAAAGTTCTTCAACTTCGGTCCAAATAAGGCGAAATCCAATTGGCTTTCCTGCTTGTTCATATTTCTCCAATAATTCCGATGTTGGATAATCTCTTGAGATGAATCTTTAAAACATGAACATTAATAATCGCTATCAAAAAGAACAAATTTATTTTTTAGTTTATTTCTATTTCTTCTTGTTAAGTAAAAAAATGATTGTCTCTCTACATATTTATTTTTACTTTTATTTACTTATTTATTTATTTATTATTTTTTATTTATTTTTTATTAAAAAAATTATCGTAATTAACTAACTTTATTAGCAGCCGATTACTGACTGATATATACGATTTCATTCCGTCTTCGTTGTAATAATCCTGATTGCCACAAAAGTGCACTTGAAATAAATCTTCATTTCGATAATTCTCGTAATTTGTTTCTTGGTGATAACCATCAATAATGTATAATGACGCCCGGTCACATTCAGCTAAATGCAGCTAAATTTATGCAATTTCAGTTTTTTTCTTATCCCTTTTTTACGGGTTGTAGTTTGTAATAAAGTCAATTTTAATGAATGAATGAATGAGTTATTTTTTATTACTTCAAAAACTACAAATAAGCTAAGTTCAGTTGAGGCGAAGGAGTGCTGCACAATTTAATGGTAGATTTTACCAAATAATAAATAGAACAGTGTTAGGGGAATTGAAAAATGTAAAAGCACGTAATAAACTAAAAATAGAAGTGAAGAAAGGATGAAAATAAATAAAGTAGCAATTCAAAACGACCTAAAGAACATGAATGATTTCATTCAAATTTTCCTTAAAACTGGCTACAAGAGGCTATTGGAATAAGACGGCATTCCAAGTTAAATACTTCCAGAAATTTAAAAAAAATATATGATTTAGTTTTACAGGGCGGTGTAAGTGGATGTATTGTGAAAATCTAAATGATACAAAAATTTCTTCTTTAAATTTGACTTAAAATATCTAAGATAGTACTGTTATTCTTTATGAGATTTCTAAGAGGAGAGAGATTTCAACAAAGAAAGCTTCAGATTTATTTTAAAAATTGTTAATTAACAAGCGAAACGTTTTAGATTTCTTAATTATCAAACGCTATGAAAGAATTATAATTAAAGAATTAAAATTAAAAGATAAAGTCTGATCAACAAAATGTGTGATTGATATGTGGTAGAGGAATATTATTGAATATGTGCTAGAATAAATTTAATATGTGTAGAATCAAGCATTTATCTAAGGAAAGTTTTACCATAAATCCATTCGACCAGTTTATTCATCAATCTGCAATACTAAATCTCTGGTATCATGAGAGAAATTAACCTTACTAGTTATCAGCATATTTTAGAATCAAATAAAACTCTAGCAGTATCAAGTATAAATAATGAAGAATTGTGGACCAACCATTTTGCTACACTGAGACCTCTTTATAACTTTATACGTTGGTTGATTCGAATAATATTAGAAAGCGCATTTTTAAAACGAATATAATAATGACCACTTAAATAGTCTAATATCCGTCAGAATTAATCCCCAGTAATATTTAAGTTTTAATGATATTCAAAATTTATTATGTGATGCTGTTTTCAAAGGTCTCAGTTAAATCAAGATAAATACCAGAAATTGATTCCCATCAGTAGAGAAGTAGGCCAACCATAAAATCTGGCCAACAATTTTGAAGCTTTTGTTATTCACAAGGTATATTTCTTAAATTAAATGAAGTGTGCTTTGAAAAAAAATCAAGATTGAATTAATTGAATCTTGTTGAATTTATTCTTTTAATGAATGGCTCATACCATTTCTCTTTGGCTCCACTGGGATATTTAGGTGATTAAAGTGATATTTAGGAAATACAAGTGGCCAAATCTCACCTGGCTACCACAGAGATTTCACTTTTTATCAGTTTTCTTCCACCTAAATGGCATCGAACGAACCTAAGAAGGCTTAATCTTCGTCGAAACAACACATTGCATCCGACCCTATTCACCCATTGATTTGAATGATTTCGAATAAGAATTTCATCTTAACTAACCCATTGTTGAGGAAAGTTGAAGATATCGAAGTCGGATATAAATTCTTTTGTTCGCATTGACCCTTATTAACCAGTGACATGAAACATTTTTTGGATAGATCACTGGATAGCCTGGACTGATTATTTCTCCATATAACGAATCTTTGGCATTGTGACCTCCACATTGCTTACGATACCTTTGGTCGTTGTCATAATAAGTACTAGGTGGTTCCATTATTGATTCTGCAAGATTTATTATCATTCCAGTTGATTTTAATGGCTTTTGTTAAATGGGCTTACCCATAATCCCCTTTTTTTGAGTAACTGCCAAAATTGAAATGAAAGCGTGAAACGTGAAACCACCATAATTTAAAAAATGCAAATGGACTGATAATGCAAATTTATTTCCAAATTGCTCATCCAGAATTATTTATATCAGCCTTATTACCCAAAGATGAAGTATTATTGTACTCGATTTTCATGGATATTTCTAGGATTTCATCAATTTTAATCGAATTTTATGGAAAAATTCACTCAGATTCTCAATTTCCTTTAAACTGCATATAAGAGCCATTTTCGATAATTAATTCAGCTTTTTTGGAAATAAAATTGAAAATCTGAACTTGATTGACAAACATAATCAGCTTCGTATAAGCAAATCTAAGTAAATCTTTGGCTGCGACCGAAGAATCAATTATTTTATGATCAATTATGACCTTGAATACCTAAAACCTTGAGGTATTATTAAAATAGCAGTAATTTATATTTTTCTGCTTTTTCAAGGGGATTTTTTTCAACCTTTAAATAATTTAGGAAATAATTTACCAAAATACATCGATTTATCGAAATTTCTCAAAATTTATTCACGAGATTAAGTTAACGCGAATTAAAATTTATAGAATTCTAAAGAATTTGCGTAATCATTCAATTGATTTTCATGATTTGTTTCGCTCGAGGAAAATGCTTTAACTTCGACAGCAAATAGAGTTATTATTACTAAATTTCTAGGATGCAAATTCGCCTTCATTGCTGTCTTAGAATAAATATCCGATATTGCTATCGATTATTAATTATTAAGCCTAGAAGCCCAATTCCTATAATAAGAATTGTTATTATTTGATAAAAAACCCCGAAATCCACGACAAATAAATACACAAGATTTGGCTGCCTAAATTAATATTAATATTTAAATTGGATTCTATCTTTAGTAACAAATATACCAGCTGATAGAGACCTTTCATAATCAAAGCAATATATTAGGCCTCAAATTTATCTGAAGTGAAATCACCTGAATAAAATAATACTCGTAAGTACGTAAAATTCAAACGGACACTTAATAAGCCATTTTAAATACACTGCTGGAAAAAAAGAACCATGAGAAAACTGTTTTGATTTTTTTAATGTTTTTTCCATTTTTTAAAAATGCATTTTACAAAAAGTTTAGGTTTTTAGAAGGTTTATTAATTTACAAGGTTTATTAATTTAAAAAATACTAATTAAAAGTTCACGCTTTATTAATTTTGCTGAAGAATCAGAAACAGTTACCTTCGGGTAAAAACTGATAATGAAGTTTAAATCCTGGATATTGATTTGTACGTGATGAATGAAAACGTATTGTTAATGTATTTTGCATAGTTTGAATAGGTGGTGGAAGACTTAAACCACAGTAGCGATCGCCAATATGATCTCTTCCGTGACGATCAGTTACGGTTATAATAACATAGTCATTGAAGCACTGATTGGAACGCGGTAATGGTCGTTCTAACTCGAAATGTATGAATGAAATGCGAATAACAAGTCCTGATGCGGCAGTAAGTTTGTAAAGGCAGTTGGAATCGGGTGGATAAGTGAGAGGATAGCGGGGTGAGGTGATTAAACCTTCCGATGGTTGAGAACCGTGAATATTTTGCGTGTCACATGTCGAGCCCATACGTACGAATAACATCAAAAGGCACAACATTCATTCATTTACCGTTAAAATAACTGAATCGAAAACAATAGAGAAAAATTAAACAAAAATGAGCCAAAATATTTAAAAACAGAGAAAGAGAAGCTTTTTCCTTCCCAATGGAATATTGCTTGATGACACTGTTAAAATAACAGAATTAATGAACACTAATTCTGACCAAAACATGCCACTCGAAAAGCCGTCTGAGACGGTTCAGCCAACATCCGCGGAACATTAAGAAGTAGACATTCATCAGAAATCCATCTCACTCCACACCATCGATCCAATGACAAACGCTGTGCACTTTCTAGGCGTGTTGCGTTAGTAATAGTAGAAGTAGCAGCATCAGTCCTCCCATTCGTTAAATTCTCGGCAAAATCGTTAGTACAATCACAACTATCGTTGTACCAAATATATCTTGTCTGCAAAAAATCAACCGTTAATAATCTTTAGACTGGTCATTTTATTCTTTCACCCAGTATTTATTTATCGAAATAAATTCAATTTCCACGCAGAAATTTATATTTATCTAGCAATTCTCTAGCAATGTGTCAATGAATATCGATATACTAAATATTCAATATTTTTAAAAGAGAAAATTTCTAAATGAGAAAGTCAACTGAAGCCAATATCGTCCATAAATCTTTCACCGGTTCTTACATAATATTTTTAAATATCACTAAAATAACTAGGAAAAACAAAAAATGCCAGTTTTCTTCCAGTTTCTTCCCAGTCGACTTATTCCCCAAGAATTCAAAGTTCATTTTTGAATTTTATTTATTGGCATAAAATTTATATAAATTTTATTTATATAAAAGCTGTTGAACTGCTGACTGTTATAAAAATCATTTTTTCATTATTGTTTTCTCGTGAATTAAATAAACCGAATATGTAATTATTTCATTGCAATAACTTGCAATGCATATTTTTCATCCATTCCATTAAATCCAGAGATAAATCCAGAGATAAAAAAAACTGGAAAACAGATCTGATTGAAACAAATATAAATATAAAGAACGTTTAAAAAATTATTTAATTAAAGACTGAACCTACAATAATATTTAAGCTTTTCGTCTTACATGATGATGACCACTTATCTTTACTTTTATTGCTAAGAAACGAGTCTATAAAAAAATTTGCCTGGTCTAACAAGCCAGTATAGCGAGCGTAAACAAAAATTTCTTCTTCTTCTTCTCATCATAAAAAAATAACTTAGGAAAAAAGCTTAGCGTTAAAAAGATGAAAAGTGACTATGAAAAGATGCTTCTATATTCTATGCTTCTATATATTCTAATTTGTTAAATATATAAATGAATAAATAAAAATCGCTTCAAAATGGAACGAGATTTGTCTATTCTTACAGCAGATAAACGATCAAAGCAAGCCAAGTAAAAATAATCCATTCATGGTCTTCGAGCTTTAATCTAGCCAAATTCCTTAAAATAAACTGATAACCCTACAGGTTGGTATGGAAAAGATTCTAAAAAAACTGACTTGATTCAAAGATAACGAAACTGTTCAAAATGGCTAAGAATAAAAAAATTACCACTAGCTGTTTTTTATTTATGATCAGTAGATTAAATCTAGCAAATAAATGACCAAAAATCAGAAAACTTATAAAAAGAATGGAAGGAAAATTCAAATTATGGAGAAAAATTTGGATTTTTGGCTTTCTAATATCATATTGAGACCTAAATTCAGCATTAGAAAGCGAAAATAATAATTTTAAATAAATTTAAAAAAAACTGGAACAAACAATTCGAATGGCTAATAATCGATTTGTTAATTAAATAAAAATAAACCGAATAATCACTGATGGAATCAATATTATTTTAAAAAAGCATACACCGGAAACGCACAACAAAAGTGAAACTTCTTGCGATTCTGGTATTAAGAAAATAAAATAGTTTTCAAGAATTAAAATTCAGCTTAACTGATATAAAATCACTGAAGATAATAAAAACAGCGAATAACCAAATAACTATTTCATCCTAATTCCATTTCTCCATTTTCTAGAATTGAAATATTACGCTTATGGTAACTAAAATGAAAAGACACCAATTTTTTTTTATAACACTTTTCCATAATATTAGACCTAAGCTACCTTTCTCTCGTTTATAAGGGAAGGGATAGCTATGATAGAAAAAAATGTTATAAGCTAATAGAATATTAAAAGGACAATTTATATAATAATTACTATTTCGAGAAGAATAATCTAATATCGGTGCTACCACCCTGATTCTCTTTGTTCGATTCCCCGCAGGAGTAGACCTGGACAAAAATCGGAGTGATGCTGGCGAATGATTCTGTTTCCAAATCGAAACCAAGTCAAAAACTGCCTAAGGTATTTAAATGCAATGGCGGTTTTCTTTTATCTTTATAAGATTTATCAATTTTAAAAAAATTTTATTAATTCTATTTTATTTCTATTTTACTATAATTCCACTAATTTAACACTAAATTCTTCTAATTATCTCCGTATCGATGGTTGCCAGATTATTGGAACAGGATACCTGGCGCAGGATGATATTAACAAAGAAACTAAATGCTCTCTCCAAATAATATAAAAAAAATATATATATATATACATATACATATATATATATATATATATATATATTAATGTATATATACATATATATATTAATATATATACATAAAAATATAAATATACATATTTATATTTAAAAAATAAAAAAAAATATATACATATTTATATATAAATTTAATGTGTAATGTATAAAAAGCTTGATATTCTACAAATTTGTATAAATAAAATTCTGTAATATGCGAGCAAGAGGTAAATTTTAAAAAAAATGTAGAAAATTTTGATTCCCTATAAGAAATGTTTTAATAAATAAAAACCTGTCGACGCAAGATAAATATTCTCAAAGTACCAAATGAGCCAACTAAAGCGATTTTGTTTGAACCAACACTCATTTCAATAATATCTTCATCTTTAAAGCATAAAGCATTGTTTGAAATAGTCTTTCCACACTTATTGGACAATAGTGAATATTCTACTATAGTTTCATCTCGATTCGAACATAACAAATAAACTGTTCGATTCATTAACTGAGCATCCATTATAATATAGGGTGACTCAATATTCAATTTTCGTACTGCCTAAATATAATAAATAATGAAGAAATGTTTAATTCAGAAACTCATCATAAAACAAATTGTTACGAATACAACATTAATATTTCTTTAGTTTTTTTCGATAGCTAACCATTTCATTCACCAAATCTATGTGAAAAACTTGATTTCTAGTCGTTAAAGCGACTAATGATGTTGAATCTTTATTGGAGTGAATACGAAATATATATCCACCATTTTCTAGAAATATGGAAACATGAAAATTGATTGCTCTTCAAGATTTTATCAAAAATAAGGAAATCTTATAAGAGATGTCCAAAAGCTTTTCGTAATTATCAAAAATCTTAATTTAAAACCGAATAAATAAAAAGTTTATGATGAAAACCGCGTTTTTACCTAAATTACAGCGATTTATAATCCTTATTTCTGAACCTGCTACTGAAAACATAGAAATCAAATTTCCGGAAGCCGTAATAAGAGCGAAATTATTCTTATTACTAGGCGATCTGATAAAAATAAGTGAACTTGCGACCAATTCTACGTTTGCAACGACTTTGACAATGTATTTCGTATCGATTTCCTCCAAGCTGTAAATTCTTAACAAATTTGTAGTTGCCATCGCAATTAGTTCACCACTGCTTGTAATAGCGCTGAAAAAATGAATTAGATTTCGACCAAGACCATGAAACCATAAAAAGATAATCTTTAAATAAAACAAAAAAACATCGCTTTATATCTAATCAAAATGAATGAATGAATCAAAATGAAAAAAAAATTTGTGACCTAAAACCTAATAACCTAAAACGACGAAAGCAAATATGCGGAGGTTCATTACCAACTTTTTTTTTACTTCATTAAATACTGTTATGGAAGCTTTTTGCTTTACTGGTTACCACAGCGAAGGCTTTCTTCTCATGGTTTTCATCGTTACAAATAATCCTTAAACTTTGATGCACCACTCTGAGCTCATAAAAAATGCCTTATCAACCAACTAATTCTTTATTAAATGATTTTCGATTAATCGATCCCTAATTGTTGATAAGATCTTTATGATCCTAAAGCAATCTTTTTGCTGTTTCACTGTTTCGAAAATTATTGGACTACCTGGCCGTGACATATTCTTTCGAGCTTATCTGAGCAATCTTTACGGGTTCTTCTTTCATTGCCAAATAACCATCACCAATAGCGTCAATCATAGCTATTCTCCATATTGTTATATGGTTGGTGTATTGATACATAAATAAATTAACATCCTGAGCAACACAGCAATAAATCTAAAATTTAAATAAATGACTACACTAATAATTTTAAAAACTTTTTTTTCTAATTTTTCGTTAGAACAAATATTTTTAATAAAAAATAAATAAACAAAAATCACTTATTTTTATCTTAAAAGACTAATTTTTAACACTAATTTTAAAGAAAAAGTATGAATAAAAATAAATAAAATCGTAATCGTACATTTTTTTGACAAAAAGAATGTGTCTTTGTTGTACTCATAATTAATGCATGTTCTGCTCCTCCTGAAAACATTACGCCATCCGAAATAACAATTGAGCGAACATCATTTCTATGCAATCGCCGTCGATGATCTATGCGATAATTTGGGAACTGAATCTGAAATTTAAAACTGGAAATCGATTCGATTCAATTTATCCCCAAAAAATTATATTTAATCTTTTAAGGTATTTAATTTAATCGGTAATGGAGTCGATGGTTTCATAGTATATTTGCTTTTTTCTTTGTCTGTATTAACAACTGTAGATATATTTAAATATTAATATTAAATATTAAAATTTTAAAGCGTAAACAAAATCCAAATAAGCATTTGCAGAATTAAAAAAAGTATTATTTGCAATATTCGTAGCAAAAAATTTGAAAAAAAGAATCTTTTCATAAAATCTTATAAAATCGAAAAAATTTATCTTTTTTCCCACCAGTTAATAGCTAATTTTATCCATAATACATTGCATATCATTATTTACCAACCTTTTGTAATTTTGTAATGCAAGGATCAACGCCTGCAGCATAAATAGATGCTTTAGTGACACAAAGTGTCAAAATATCAGCTTCATGGGACGCAATCGCCTAGAAAATTTTTTATTTCCATAATTCGGTGGTTAATATGAAAATATTTCTATCCATGAATTAAATAAAAGTGAATTCCTCCAAATGTGATTTAAAATATAATAAATATAATATAAAATATAAAAACGTTAATTTTAAAGAATTTAAAGAATCTTCGATAAAAATAAGTGGTAAAAATTCACTTGATGCAATGAACCGGTTAATGAATCCCATATACAAACAAAACCTCTTGAGTCACCAGAAATTAGTAAATCGTTCCTACAAAAAACAGTATAAGACTAGGATGGATTCATCACAAATCATTTTCAAGCAAATAATTAGAAAATGAAATTTAATTTCATATGAACTTTTGTGAATTTTAATGAAAAGTTAGTTCTTATCGATTTAATTAATGAACATTAAAAATTTCTTAAACTTACAAAAATGTAATACACCAAACAATCGTTGGTTTTCTTTTTTCATCACGGGGCAATTTTAATAATGGACCTAATTTTTTTGTTTTTAATTCTATCAAAAAAATATCATCAACACAACCAGCAGCAACTAAATTTTCATTCGATGCCAAAGAAAATATTCGCGATGCAAATCCTGAAGTATTGTTAAATCAGAAATCAAGCAAAATAATCAGAAAACTTGGATACTTAGTGCAATAATAAATAATTGGACGCTGGTGTTTTAAAATTGAATATTAACGGCATTCAGTGCTAGCAGTACTGACCTGCCTACTGCATCAATCAAGGTTCATTTTCTATGCCTTGAAGGTAATAAGCCCACTACTGAAAGTTTTCAAGCCTGCATTCTATTTCTACCCTATTTTTAAAAATTTGAGCTAAACCAGAAATGAGGAAAGCTTTTAATAGAAAAGAAAATTTAAACAATTAATTCAAATAAATCCATGATTTTTGAGTTCACTATATAAAAATATGTGAAGGAATCAAAAATAATTGGCATACCCAAAGAAATATGTTTGGTCACATCTATATTATGGCATTCAATTGTGAGAAAAAAAATCATCCCAGAATCATCTCCAGCACAAAAACATGTTTTAGAAATCAAACAAAGGCACCAGATTGGCGAAGGAGAAATTTGATAACTCTTAAATAATGTTAACACATTTTTTAAAAATACTGAAAGGTTTCCAAATAATTAACTGACTACAGTTCGGAAGAAACTAAGTGCTACATAAATTTTTTTCGAATTTTTATATTTGATTCAAAATATTCCTAATCTGATGAATATAAAATACTTTTTTTTTGCTGGGAAATTTAAGTATTAAAAATTCCATTTTAAGCATAATAGTTTATAAAAAACCTACAATTTCTGCACCATGTAAATCATGCACAATAATTGACCCATTTGTATGTGACGATATAAGCGATTCGCCCACCCATATAAGTGATTCTGCGCAGTTTTCTACACCCAATGATACAGTTCTGATATGGAATGACAATTGACCAATTATATTCCAATATTCAATTATCGCCTGTCGACTGCCTTCCCTAAAAATTCCTAGAAAAGCTTTTAAGAATTAAAAAATCATCAGTAAAATGTTCTTAGAGTTCTTGATTGACTCCATCCGTCACAGGCTTTAGCAAGTAAAGAAATGTGGATCCCTTTAGTCCAATGGTCGACTTTATTCCTTATTTAACTCCTCGGACACATGGCAACTTTTACGCAGTTCGTGGCCTAATTCCTACATACTTTTGTTTGAATGGCAACCAATCATTTTTAGTGATTATTTTATTTATTTTATTTTATCATATTCATTCAGAACTCTTAGGCGAAAAAATAGATAATTTAAAATTAGAAAACATTGCACTAAAAGACCATGGATTTTTATGGTTACAGCAAAGTGGTTCATGGAATAAAAATTGCCGATCACTGTTTTAACCACAGTTTGATAGTAAATTCTGAAACGATTCAAAACCATTCACATCAATTTCTAATCAAAAAAAGAAACAAAAAATCCGGTCCTTTGTCCATATTTCCACATGTCCATATTTTGTAAAAAATCCACGAACTCTAAAACAGATTACTCAGTATCCCTGCGCCTTGATACCGCAAGTATGCCCCGTCTTTGATCAACTGCTAGACACTGAACAGTGAATGGTTCATGTTCCAGCACGCTGCTATGATGTACAATTATCTCTCGCTTCCGTTCTTTCATGTTTTTTGCACTTTTACTGATAATTACTCTAAAATCAAAAATGAAACAGGTGAACTGATGTTATGTCAAAGCATATCTTCAAAAAAATGAAGATTATGTGCACGAAATTCCTTAAATTCCTTAATTCTCCCTTAAACTCCTCTTTCATCAATTATTGGTAATAAATTTTTAAATAAAAATCGCCACTAAGTCAATAAAAAATTGTCAAATATTTTATATGAATATAAAAATATCGGTTAAAAATGACCAAAAAGCAGAAACAATCATTTCAAAAATTAAAAATTTAAGCAACAAATTTTTTTAAATAAAAATTCATAGATAACAATAAGTAAAAACTGATTATAAATTAAAATTTTTTCCTATAAAATACTCTTATTTTAAATATTTTTATTACACTCACTAAATTTTTTATTTCCAACCACAGAATTTTCCCTTATCTACCATTTTACTTATCAATCTGCACAACGATAATTTTCACTCTTTTCGTTCCTTATATTCCTCTCCACTTCGGTATTCCATAGAACTTAACTGAGCTTTCTAACAAATATAAACAATGAAAAATTATGAATAAATATGGAACGCTTCGCCAAAATATCAATAAAATTAGAAAAGAGAAATACATCTTCACATATCAGAAAATAATATAAATTATTTTATAATATATTATAAAATAATATATTATAATATTATAATATAATATAATATATGTAATAAAATTATATCATAACAATATATAATATATTAAAAGCGAAATATCTCCAAGAATGAAATTACATTTTAAGCCTAAATGTTATGGACATTGATAAAGGCATCAAAAATAGTTGTTTCTTTCATACATGTGCCATTCAATAACATCAATTTCAAATTTCCAAAGTTTTTGCACCTCACAGTAATATACTCTCTAAATTTTTATTCTAAATTTCCATTTGCAAATGACATTAAAGTTTCAAAAAAAGGTGCCATAAAACATCTCATAAAAGCAAATTATTCCCAACTATATAACTATGTAATCGTTGTACAGTTAATCAAACTATTACATTTTAAAAGGCCAGGATACAAATGTTTCGTTCTTATGAACAAAATTTTCAAATACCCATGTTTATGAATTCTTGCCTTTCAGAAATGAAATAAAAGAAAACTGATAGAGTAACAAACAAAATTTAAAAAAGCGATACAAAGAACATACGAAATCGAAATGAGAAAAAACTAGTGGAAAAACCTGAATAATTTTAAATATAGTAACAAAAAAATTAGAGAACAAATATTATTAAGAGAAAGATCAAATGTCATAAAATAAAAATGATTTTTATAAGTGAACAATTTATCCTTCTAATACATTGAATAAATAAGTGGTTCGCGTTCATCATTTCTGCTAAGATTGACTCCTTTGGTATTGATAAATTCATAATCGTAGCCTTTGTGAAAAATACAAGTGGATAATGAACACCACCAAGAAAGACCTCACGAATTTCCAATATTTGGAAATAAAATAATTAAAGGAATAAAAATTTTCACAAAATTGATTTCTTAAGAAATTGAAAAAAAATAAATTAAACATCAAAAATCGCTAATATACTTCCCAAATGAAAACTTTATGAGGAATTCTAGGTAATCTATACAAACATCAAAATGAATTTTTAGCAAAACTTGAAATATATAAATATTAATGCCGGGAAGATCTTGAAAATGAATATGTAATCCAAAAGAGGAAGGAAAAGCTACAGAATGAACAACACTATAAAAAAGTAAAAATGTAAGAAATAATCCTTATAATTCGTCAGTTACTACTTATTAAAATAAAAATGCATTATTCGAGCAAAATTAAAATTGATGGAAACGTACAAACTTAAGAAAAATGAAAAAAAATGAAAAATAAAAGCATTTTCCGAAAAATAAATCCGATCTTATCGATATTTTTTTAGAAAAAATTTTTATGAAATTGCTGCAATTTTTTTTAGAGATCGGTATCGAACCAAGAAGGATTCTGTCCATTAGTCTGATATGGTGGCGGCTGCCATGGTGAATGATGATCAAGTCGGTCAACTCCTGACTCCTGATACATTTCTGCAAAAAGTTCGGGCTCTAATCCATCATGCATCCATTCATCACCCTCATTTATCGCACTTTCGATTTCAGTTTCTAATTCTTCACGATACATAACTGGTTTATCTCGTTGCAGATTTTTCAATATTACCGATGCATAAGTAGCTTGAAAGAAATAGGTATGAAATTAGTAAAATTTAAGAAAATTACCTTTTCCCTGACCATTTCTAATGTTATGATATATCTAATTTCCAATATTAAAAATAATGAATAATTAAAAAAAAAATTTTTAAAAAACTGAGAAGCAAAATGTTGATCTAAACGAAAAGATCCTTTAGAAAAGCCCACCAACTGCTTTATTTTTAGAATGCAACGCATCAAGAAGAAATGGCGTTGATCCATGAATGTCAAGCTGATGAGATCCCTCTACACTTTTAGATAACTGATAAATTAATCCAAGTAATTCTCGTTGTAACAGTTCATCATCATTCGCATAAACATGTTCAGATGACAGCAACTAAATTAAAAAATAATTACGATTGTGAAACGCATGGAAAAAAAAAAATCAAATTTAGGGATGCAAAAATATAAAAGGAACAATCGAAACAAATGATTTCAAGAACAACCTTGATTAACATTTCAATGAAAGGATGATCGCGTAGCATAATATTAGCAATACTTGGATCGTTAGCCAATTGATGCAAAGCTGATACAGCACCTTCTACAAGTTCACGCATTGCAACTCCATCAGCTGCTGCTTCAGGATCTTGACGCAACTGAGCTCCTGCTCTACCAAGTACATCCATTGCTAAAGTCACGACTGAATCTCCCTTTGAAGTGGTTTCCTACAATCCAATATATTTCCTTATTAAAAAGGTAATAAAAATGAAAATGATGAATAATTATTTAATGATAATATAAAAGAATGATAAAAAAAATGAACAACTATCACCAAAAGTATAAAAGAAAATCCTTACATGATTAAGAGAATAAAAATTTGCAGGTAATAAAGCAAGATTACGGATAAGCCCAAGTGCAGCTTTTACAATAGGTGCTCGCATTGTTGAAAGAAGATCCAAAATAACAGGGAGATTTTGTGATAAGCGTATATCACTTTGCGCTTGTGATGCTAAAGGATGTCGCGCCGTGCAATGCCGCAATGCACATAACGTTGGTTCAGTTATTTCTTCAATCTTCGTGAACCTATCCAGTGCTGAACATAAAATATCCATTCCTCTGAAAGAAATACTTATTAAATACTTAAAAAACTTCAAATTTTCATTAGCTTTGTTTTACAAATTTTACTTCTTGAGTTTAATTGCGTTAAATAAATCAAAATATTTATCCCAGTCTAATCGATATCAAAAATTAATCATTTACTACAGAGATAAACCATAAATCTGAAAGATAAGTTATTCTGAACAAGAAATTTCAAACAAGCAAGCTGAAGAAAATACATATGCGACTGGTTTCAAAGTTAAAAATGTCATTTTGTCAAAAAAAATTTAAAATTAAAACTTCGTCAAAAAAAATAAACCTACCTATTCACACAAACAGTCTGTTTATTACGAACATTATTACACGTAAGATTCGATAATATGCCAGTAGCACAAGCAGCTAAAGATTCATCGCCCATAGCAATTACATTTAACAGCCTGATAATTAAAGGCGCTATGTTGGTCTCATTTGTTGCAGCATCTGATAAATTTCTAATTGCACAAAGAACAGCTATCTGCGTCCTTTCTTCTACATCATCAATAAAATCACCCAATAACTGCAGCGCTCCTGAAAGAAATGAAATGTAATTAAGAAAAAAATGTCCAGACAACAAAGAACCTGTTGAATTCTGAAAATTAATATTTCTATTGACAATACTGATAGAACGTTTAAAAAAAAAAAAAAAGCAAATTTAATGGCTAACATTATAATGCATAAAAATAATTGATAACGTTTACCAAGAGATATTAAAACGTTTTCATTCTGAGGACAAACTGAAATTGCACGAATGCATCGAACGATTGTATAAACGAGCTTTGGATATTGGCGATATGAGTCAAGAAGCGATATAAGTGACGCTGGACCATTCATTGATAGGAAGGACAGCTTGCTTTGCGCATGATCTAACATTATCAGGTACAAAGAATCAGCAAGCAGCGCCAAAAACTTCGGATTATGCTCATGTAAAAGAGGAGTCATGGCCTCAAGTCCACCAAAGTTTCGTGTTTCCTTAAGTTTAAGATATTAACAAATTCTAGAGGAAAAAATAATAAAAAATAAAAATAGAAGGCATAAAAGGTAATTAAAGTATCTTTACTAATATTAATTCTAATGAAGGCAACCTGTTTAGCAGAATCCATATAAAGTAATAGATTGTGTAATGTCGTTATTGCATAGTGACGTACAGCATTAATAGAAACAGAAAGCATTTTCACTAATTCAGGAATACCACCTGAGCGAAATAAATGCATCCTTCCTTGTTCATATTCAGATATATGCGACAATGCCGCCAATGTGTCGCGTCTAATCGACTCATTGTCAAATCTTAAAAAGCTCAGCCTTAAAATGTAGAGAAATATAGAAAAAGTGAATGAAAATTTAAAGTTTAAAGTTTTAAAGTTTTTTAATTTGAAAATATTGAAATCACTGGTAAAACATATTTTACCTAATCGCAGAGCACAGTGCTGCAATCAGAGTTGGATTGTTGGCTATTGCAGTACCAGATTTACTTTCTTTTGATAACAAATGCACCATATGAGCTGCACGAAGTACTACCATCTATAATGAAGTCGTATCGTATTTTTAAATCGTATTTTTCATTAATTTAAATAGGGTTCGAATTCATTATATATTTTTTCAAACTTTCCTTATATCTAAAGGTAAATTTCGTTCTCTTCCTTTCTCTTCAAACGTAAAAAAAAAAAAGAATGGAATTAGCGAGATGAACGAACATACTGGAGAAAATCGAAAGCCTACAATTCATTTAAAATTATATGAAAACAACCTCATCTCGATCACCAAGTAATTTGATAAGTTCTGGAATAGCTTTAGTTGTCAATTCTGATTCATCCTGGAGACTAATTAATTCCACTATTGCAGTTTTCAGCAATCTTGTAGGATCAATTAGTTGCTGAACAATCGAAGTACGACCACTGAGCATCTCCTCATTTGGTTCAAGATCATCACATAACTCGGGAAACATAATCAACCTCAAGCGATCGTAACGAGTTTGCAAATAAGGATCGCCCATTTCTAAAATATAAATCCTTTTCCGGCCCACGAAAAAAGCAACAATAAGCACAATTGGCATTTTCATGTTATTCGCTTTTAACAATTTTTCTTCGTAAGATTTCACGAAACTTTCAGCAGCTAATAGTGTCAAGAAACTCGCACTTGCGGTCTCTTCCGGAATTTCAAGCGCACGCCGCACGGAGGAAGTCTCACGAAAGTCCAAAACACGCCAACGAGAAGTTTGAACGCGCAGTGTAATTACCCATCGCTCGACACCGTCAACGTTTAACGCTTACATTCGCCATTTCATCAGCGATTGCGGACGGGGAGAGTTTGCCCGAAAAAAGAAATGACTCCACGTGGAAACGCAGCGCTTTTTCGACTCGTTTCAAATGCAGAAAATTAATAAAAGAATCGCATGAAAGCGTAACGAACTCATTACGCGCATTATTTCCGCAATGAACGAATAAATATAAATAAAAAGTGAAGAAATAAAAATAATTTTAATTAAATATTAATTTAGTTCTAAATTATTTCGAATTTCTTTGGTGCAAATCACCGCTCACTTAAGAATTGTAAAAAAACGCAAAACAATGCAAAATGCGCCATATTAGAAATCATGACAACTTATAATTTTTGGCTTGAAGCCAATTTTCTAGAATTCGTCCTAAGATTCAATAATTTAAATAGCGGGATTGGCTTACAAATAAGAGCATATAATGACGTTTTCTATGCCATAGGATCCTGCGGAATTTCGGCGGAGCTTTAAGAGTCCATTTTGAAGTCTTTCTCAAGATGTTTTTGAATTCGTAACATAGGGTTACAATGGAAGAGTAATACGAAGGAGTAAGTAACACCTTTGAATTCTATTAAGTCGCATACAACTATTACTGAACAAAATGCTGAATATTAGGTTAGGTAAAAGGTGGTGAAGTTGCTTTCTCTCCCAGCTGAATTCTCAAAGCTGTGCAAGCGCTTTATATTTTAGCTATTCTTAATGTTTAATGCTTAATAATTTATGTACGCAAGCAACAAGCGCGAGAACGAATTCAACGAAATGGTCGTGTTAAGGCGAGTAAAAAAGAGTTTGCGGGCTGCCTGCCGCTCATCAGAAATGCCATTATCCTTCCTTTATTTCCCAAACTTTTCTTCAGCACTTCCTTAACAGTTCTTTCCTCACATTTACTCTTTTGTCTGGGCTTCTTGTATTTTGATCTTTCTGCTACTTGGTTAAATGTTGGGCAATATGTATTTAGGCTCAATTTTTTAAAGCACGAATAATAAGTAAATGGTTAGCTTTTCTATTTAAACTGTTTCCTTTCACAGTCAAAATTTTTGCTAGGAAATCATTTAGTGGTAGGTGTTCCTCCAACACTACCCAAATTTGCTTGGGTGATTTTCATGACCTGAACTTCTCAACGCTGTCTGTCTAAAATACTATACACTCGGCCATCGTGCCCATTACAAATAAATACAAAGTGGTGTATATTTGAGAATACGGTATAAAAAACTGCAAAGCACTACTGGCATCATCGCTATTTAACTTGAAAGTCAGGAGTTTGCAGTGAAACGGATGACAGCGGTAAATAATTTGGGAATGGTCATCGATAATTTCTAATGGCCAATTAACGAGCAAACCATGAAGGTTACTTTGTAGTTCACCAAAAATTACCATAAAAGCAGAAAGTATGATTTGGTTAAAGAGTGTTGATCAAATAATGGCAATGAAAGGAATGTATGAGGTGTTGATTTGATTATGCAGAGGGAAACAATGCTATCTATGCAAACAGAAGAATCGATAAGATTATTTGATGGAATATTTGAAAGTGAGGATTTTTTATAAGCTGCTTTAGAATATTTGTTATTTGCTTGCATCATGAGACCGATTCGTGTTTCTCGATGATCAATTAAATTGTAATAAAAGGACTAATAATAGTTAGAGTCAGCCTTGCTTTATAATAAGGCATTGCTCAGTTTTTGTTTTTGTCTTTAACTATCTTATCAAAAAAATCGTTTATTCAGATAACCAATGGAAGACGTTGATCCGATTAATTAATTTGGCAAGCAACAGCAGCACTGATTCGATTCTCCTAAAAAAATTGAAAAAATCAAGAACAGGAATTTCCTTTGAAAAAATTCCCTTTCCTTCACTCGTTCGCTGATTTTTTATCGAAATGAATTTTACATTTGCTCTGAAATTATGTCCGAACTGTATAGTTGTTTCTGCGCTTCGATTTGTGGCGAGAATCTTCGAAGATTCGTTTCTCTGCCACCAAAGTTCGAAATCGACGATTCCCAAAAATGCTTCTAAAAAAATTTTCGGGGGCAGCCAAAAATTCACAAAAAAAGTGTTTTATTTCAATATAAATCGAACTAACACGAAAACAATTAGAAAATGGCTAAAAAATTTGCTATTGGTTCGATTTGCCAGCCAAAAAATCACGTTTAACAACTTTTCAGCCCATTGTCTCTCATTAAATTTTCTCGTATCTTACGAAGACTATCTATTATTATTTTTCTTATATCGTTGTAAATTTTGTTATTTTATTATTTCTTCTTATTGTCAGCCATTTCTATTGATCTGAAGAGTGCCGCTATTAACACTTATCACAATGTACGGAAAATGCTTTGGCATTTCTCCAGTTTCCATTATTTTCATTACTCTATTACTTCGTTGCTCCCCAATCACTTACTGTGGAATTACATGCCGGAGATTTAATCACTTTGGAATTACTTTCTCTAGAAATAGCCATTCTAGATTCTATTAAAGAATCTATGTTATTTTCAAGCCATCTGCATCGAGATAATTTGGTACTGGAATGTTTAAATTTGCAATAATCACAATTACCTTTCTTGCATCATTAAATTTTTTTGAATTGTATTCGTAAAAATTTAGTCCGTGGAGATTTAATTTAAAGAAAAATTGAATCATAATTTCGCCTCTTATTTCATTTTTCCGGTGCAAATAATAGTTAAATGATATGTTGGTTGGTTCGATTAGGGGGAACATCGTAGATTTAATCATTGCTGCTCGATGAAAGTAAATTTCTGCTGTCAAATGAGCGATGGAGAAAAATCATTCATACTTTATAATTTCTGGTTAAGATAGCCATCGGCTGTTGGCACATTTAGAAATTTTTGCAACTGAATCACTTGGCGATAAAGTCGCAGTTGCTAGCACCATCAGGATTTTTTAATGACGAGTACAGTCCTGTCGGTGAAATGAATCGAAGCTGTGATAGTCGACCAGCGAAAACTCAGTCATGTCAACACAGTTATACCACTCGAGCAATCCTGCCACTACCACCTTAGTAGAACGAACGACTCAAACCATAATCAATGAGTCGAAGGAGAAAGCGAAATGTTCGAAGCATTCAGATTCAATAAATTTTAAAAGAAAAAAATTTGCAGATATGCGTGAAAATGGCGTTATACGTATCATACATTTCATTGTTGGATGGTCAGTTTGTTTATTTTTTAATGCATTTGCCATTATTCAAATGGCAATTATTTGGTGGAAAAATAAAAATGCCTTTGCAAAACCAAAAATATTGCCAAAGCCAGACGCACTTGAAAATTGGATCCATGGCAAGGCAAAATTATCGGTTCGTTGCTGTGCTTTTTGCTTCTATAGAAAAAAACGATTCTGCTTATGAATTTGATGAATTTGAATTTAATTCTAATTTTTATATATATCATTTATTTTATTAGTGAACCTCAAATTATTTTATCTAGAAACATTGGCTCAAAGTGTGCTTCGAGGATTCTTTGGACTTTTTCAAGGGATCCAGAAGGGAACCATTTTCTTGCACATACTAAGAATTTATTTTCAGTTTTTTGCTTCAAGTAGATTTATAACTTTTATAAATGACGATAGGAAGAAGAACCTTTAATAAATAAGAAAAAAATTTGATCAATATCGAACATCGAAAGATAGAACCTCCGGAAATATTAGCTTCTTGGAGATCTACAAATCTTAATTTTAAAGGAGTTCCCGGAACAAAAAATTTGAATATCACTATTCTCAAGTAAAGAAATGTCAATATTAAATATAATAAATATTTACAATTTATGATTTCTAATTTCTATATTGATTTTATAAATTTAATTTGATATATAATTCAATTTAATTTTGCAGTATTCTTATTATTTATATTTAAATTTAATAATATTTGAAAATTCAGTAATATTTTAAAAATTTTAACAATTTAAGAAAATTTTTTATTTATCCTTTCAATTATTTCAATTATTAAGTATAATTTAAACCAAACATCTTCCCAGGAAGTCACAATCCATTATGTCGAACAAGGTGATCTCATGAGCCCATTGTTGCTAATGGTACACGGTTTTCCAGATTTTTGGTATTCTTGGCGTTTCCAGATAAAACACTTTGCAAAATCTTATCAGTTGGTTCTTTATCAATAGCAGTCTTAATAATAGTGTATAAAGAAGAAAGAAAATGAAATTATAGACATAAGTTCAAAAATGTCTGATTTCAAATAGCATTATTTTAGAAGTGTGGTACCAAGTAAAGAATTCGTTGAAGAAAGAATTTGCGAAAGTTTAGTTCATAAGACATGGCACTGGGGAGCCCGTTTATGTTCCTATCCGAATAACTATTCTCTAGAGTTTCATTCATACTAGGAGGGCAATAGCCAATCAAATCATAAATATTGAGTGTTTGGATAGAAATTCATATTTAATTAGTACATTCTGCTGTGAATATTAATGAATTTCTAGTCAAGTGGCTTCAACTTTGATTATTAAACTTGGTCTTTGAAAACATGATTTGTCAAACATCATGGCGTATCCAACAAGCAACTTTTTTTTTATCCTTGTTCCTTGATTGATTGTTCCTTCTGTGAAAGCATTTCTAGTGACCTAATAATATAATTTCAGCGTCGTTGCAGTCGATATGCGCGGTTATAATGAATCAGAGGCACCTGTTGGCATTGAACATTATCAAGCACATTTGGTTGCTAAGGATATTGTGGAGCTCATCCAATATTTAGGTTGAAAATATAACATTAGCATTAAAACGTTTCAGTTGAATCCAGAATTGTTTCTTATTATGGGAATAACATATCGAGAGTCTTTAGGCTTCATATGATGATATGCCTTATAAAGTCTTATCATAATTTAGTATTTCTGATCAAGTAAAAAAATTATGTTATATTATACCTTATTCGTTATGAATATGCCAAGTTTATTTCATTATAGCCTTATTTCTAGGATATAATGGCGGTGTATTAGTTGCTCATGACTGGGGAGGTGCAATTGCGTGGCATATTGCTGCTGCACATCCGGAAGTTGTGAAAAGACTAATTATCTTAAATGGTCCACATCCGCTTGCTTTTCAGCAACATTTACGAACAAGCTTAAGTCAATTTATAAAGTCATGGTTAGTGATTTAATTAATGCAAATAATTCTGAAATAAAATCCGTCAGAGTAGAAGCACGGCAGCCGAGTGGCACTTTGTTCTAATTAAAGTTAAACTATCTTAGATTCATGTGTCATAGATTTTTTTGAGAGTAAACCTATCATTAAGTCAGTACATTTGTTTACCTCTACTTCTATTAACTTTATGATAAAAGGCTTACACTTCTCGGTAATCAGTGAAGCCAAACAAATCAGAAATGACTGCAAGTATTGTACTGTAAAAATAAGATGAATAAGAATATAATAATATTAATAAGAAATCTATTGGTCGAATTGGAAAATTCTCTCCTGAAGGCTCAGTGGTTAAACAATTGGGCTTAAAAAAAATAAGAACATGACTAAAACTTATTTCACTTAATTTTAATTAGTTTTTCTTCAGGTACATATATTTTTTTCAAATGCCTATTATTCCCGAAACTTTTATCTCATTGGACAACTTCGCACGACTAATTCAAACAATTCGTGGTTCGAAGGGACTCATTAATAAAGAAAATTTCACCGATGAAGACGAAAAAGCTTTGCTCTATACATTTTCATCTAAAGGTCTGTTTTTTTCACCAGTTTTTCACTTTAATTTTTCATAATTTTGAAATTTTTTTCGTAATTTTTCTATACAACCAACTGATATTAATCAACTTCTTTCTAATCTAATCTACTTTTCTATTTATTATGATTTTTCATATATTCAGAATTTGTAACATCCTTATTACAGATAAACTTACTGGCCCAATCAATTATTATAGAGCTTCATTCCAAATGCCTACAAATTTCAGCATCTTCAAAAATTTGATAAAAGTATTTATTTTTTGTATAATTATTTTTATAACTGGATAATAGTCAAATGGTTTTCATTTAAAGCCACGCGAGCAAACCTTTTATAAGCATAGTTTTCTCTAAAATACCGGTTTTGTGACAATGTACATTTGACCAGCCTAATGTATCCACTCAATCCAGCAAAAAACTTCTATCCATCAGGAAGATTTTAGACTTTGATTCAGTGCAGAATCTAAGTTGATTGAATGAAATTAAATAAATAAGCTTAACGAGTGGACGAATTTGACTTTTCAGTTTATTCCATTATTTTCCATGCATTGATTGAGTGATGGGAAATGAAACGTTAGATACCTTGTATTTTGATAAGAATAAGCTTGCGTTGAAAGTGAAATGGGTGGCGCTGGAAATCCACTTGCACTTCTATTTCCGATTAGCGAAAGAAGCTCATACGAGTAATCAATGGAATCATCAAATCAGAAATAAGATGTGGGAGACGAAAGTACAATATATATGCATGGATATCTAGCTTAAATCAAGTGGATCCACATCAGTTCTGCTTATTATTATCGGCTATTTGATTATTGCTTCAATCATTTATGGCTGTTTCGCACTGAAATATTTTTTCTAAATTTTTAGGCTAAAACTCTGATTTTGTGGGGAATTAATGATCATTTTTTGGAAAAGAAAATTGCCGAATATTCTTCTTCGTATTGTGAAGTAAGCTCTACTTTCTTTAAATATAATATGCTTAATATACAAATTCATTTCTATTTTAGCTGATTTATACTGAAAATAAAAGAAAAATTGCCATTTAATCGATAAGAATTATAATATTTTTTCTCCCGTTCAGATGAGCCAGTTACGATTTGTCGAAAATGCTTCACACTGGCCTCATATCGACCAACCTGAACAAGTCAATATGTTCATAGAAAACTTTCTACAACAGATTTGAACAATTGTCTTCAATTTAGCGATGTTTTTGATAGGCATATAACCGAAAAAATATTTTTATTTGCTATGCATTCGATTTTCCTATCGAGATATTTTCATCTAAATCAACATCTCAATCACTGTTTTATTTTTTTAAACAATTCAACAATTGTTTTTTCGATAAAAAATAAACGCAAATTACCTCGAAAATTTTAACAAGAAATTTTTATTAACGAGGAAATGAGTCGAAGAGATTTATATAAAATTTTGAACTCCAAAATTCCTCGAACCTATAACGAAGCATTAAGCTTAATTGAAACAACGTGCTACTCGACCTTTGTTCAAGGATATTTAATTCCTCGATTTTTTCTTTCAACAAATAATTTCAAAAAAATCGAAAAGTAATTTGTCGATTGTTTGACGAAATTAATGAATGAACCGAGAAAAAAACTGCTATTTTACTTTTTGGAGCTCTGGAAGAGAAAAGATAAGGAAGATAAGAAAAAAGGGAAAAGAGTTAATCTCAGGAAGATATAATTCAGGACTTTGACCACTTAGGCTTATTCTGTCAGTTATCCTGTCTCCTTTTGATCTTTAATTGCTAGACATTAAATTTGCCTTCTATTACGAAAGATTTTTGGTCATTTTAAGAATTTATGAATGTATTTTTAATTTCAAGAATAGGTTAGAATAGTTATTTGTTCTTCATCACTGAATCTATTAAATAAATCTTATTGGATAGAGTGGCTTTATCTGGTGCGTCGGCGGCTCATTACGAAGATAACTGCCATCGAGAATCGAGGCTTGGATTCGAATCCACTCTTAGTCAGGTGGATATTGGAAAAAGCAAAGGAGGGTAGAATGGCTCATTGTTACTCAATTCGGAGGGCCGACACTGAAATCCCCGTGCAAAAATGAGTGTGAGTGTGATGCTGGCGACTCACCTATCGCCAAGGCACTCACTGCCATATTTGTCTAGTCCGACAAGCCAACGGAACCAGTCTAACTAATAATGATGAGTACTTGTAAAAAAGGCTTAATCTACTTTGTTATAATAAAATTCATGGATTATTTTGGTTGCCTCAAATGGGTTTGATTTTTTATTATTAAATATCATTGCCAATATTATCATCAACGGTCTTTTCAGCAATACTTTCAGCTGTTAACATTGGTAGATATTTTAATAAATGCCGTTGAATCGCTTGAGTATACAATTTAGTATGAGGTAGCATGGTCGAGTGTTGCTTCGACTAAGGCATTCGTTTTCCGATTATTCTTGCGTCTAATTAAATTTCTTTTCACCATTTCTTATTCGGCTCGCTTCGCAGACTTATCGTGTCAGACAAGACATTGTTTATCAAACAATCATCATTTGGCGATAGTGAAGATAAATGCTGGAATTAAGTTGTATTCCTTTTTTTAAAATTATGGAAAAAGGAATATAAGAAGAATCGAAAAATCGACTTTTTTGTCTCCTAACGGCATAAAGACAACTTGTCAAGCAACAATCAGTAAGGATGTAATCTAAAAAGCCATGATTCGGTAAAAATTTCGTAATCTGTGCATCTTTATTTATTTTACTCTACCTTTTTTTGTGGCTTATCCTCACAACCAATGAGATCAACCGCATAATCACAAGAAAGGCCTTAAAAAAATGCTTTCATCCAGAGGCTGAAAAATCCTATACTAGGAGCAGAAATATCAAAAGTGTCATATCTCAACCAAATATCGGTCGTTGAGAAAAGATTTTATCGAAAATTTCTATGAATGCGTTTTCCCCGGTATCATCGACCTATTTACTAATGACCTTGAACCTCATATATCATTTTTACTTGTTGTATGTGGAAGAATCAATAAGAAAGTGAAAAGAAAAAGGGACGAACTGAATGAGTTATTTATTGCCAATTTTTCATAATGACTCTGAAAAAAATGGATGAAATCAAGGTGATGTAAGGCATGCGATCCATCTGTAAACTGTCTTCTTCCTCATTGTATTGATGGTCCACTTACACAATCTTTCTTCAAAATTTTTCTTGATAGGTATCAGTCCAGGTTTTGATTAGTCCTCCTCGCTTTTTACGGCAACAACTACAGAGTTCAGCAAGTAGCGAAGTAAATATCAACTCCTGTGGTGGACGATGGAGGATGCGCCCCAATTAGCGAAGGCGACGCTTTGTGATAGCATTATTAGGTGGTATTTGAGAGCGAAGATGGATACAATATCATGTGCGATTATATTCGCTCGACTTATCTGTAAATATATTGTAAAATGTACCTTAGACAAGACTGATAGCTTCTTAATATCTTCCACTCTCATTGGCCATGTTTCATATAGCAGTCATATAGCAAGATCGAGCGAATTGCAGCTATATGGACGTGGATTTTCGTCTCTATGGTGATTTCACGATGGCTCCATAGATTTCGTCCGGAAAACACATTTTTAGCTGTCATTATCCAGGTCGTAATTTCATCTTTTTGCCTGGCCAATTGGAACTAGAGTAGATCCAAGATATTTAAAGTCAGACACTTCCTTAACAAGCAATTTGAATTGATAAGAATAGGTATTTTATCAGTATCTAAGGCAAAAGTACTTTCGTTTGATTTACATTCATTTTTAGTCCAATTTTCGCTGCGGTTGTTGACACATTGTTTTTAATATTATTTGCATTTCCTTATAACTGCCAGCAAAAAGGAAAGGATTAAATCATTAGCGTATTCAAAGTCTGCGATGCTATGCTCTGGATTGATTTGCACACCTTTTGATTTATCGCATAGTTGAATATTATGGGGGAAAGGACGCAGCCGTGACGGACACCAGTTTTTATTTCAAAGGAGTCTGTCACTTCCCCATATACACGGACCTTCGCAAATGTGCGCTCATAAAATGCCTTTATGAGTCGAATGATCTTCTCTGGAATACCGTCGCGTTCCATCATCCCCCAAAGTGCCACTTTATCAGTTCAATCAAAAATGGCCGCAAAATCGATGTAATGGTGGATTGCTGGTATTTGAAATGAGTCCTTCTTAGCGTAAACATCTGATCAGCACAATCGCGTCCCGGTCTCAATATAGCTTGGTTAGGAGATTCTGCTACTTCGTGTTGCCCTGAGTCTATTTAGCAGGAAGGAAGCGAAAATTTTTCTGGAGGCGTCCAGTAGGTTAATTCTTCGAAAATTGTCGCAGTATATATCCTGTCATCTTTCTTAGAAATTGGAAGCAGAATTGCTTTGATCCAGTCCTGACATTTTTTCCTTTTGCCTTACCGGTACATTTTTTGAAGGTGAGTTATGAATGATGGTGCACAAAATTTAAAAAGTACGACCTGAAGACCATCTTCTCTGAGGATTTTATTGGCTTTAAGCTTATGGATTACAGAGATTATTTGCTCTTCTGTGGGTGGTTCACAGTTGTAAGCGTATGGCTAAACAAGCGAATCAACTATATCCGGGACAACAGATGGCGCATTGTGGCCTTAAGTTTGGCTTCAAAAAATTCTTTCCATCTTATGAGGTGATCCCTAATAGCTTTAAAAGGCGTCTCATTAATATCCCGTATTATTTCACTAAATCTTTCTTGAGTTATAGTCGCTTTGTGAAAAAGGCGAAATAGTTTCCTATTATCCTATTATCACCTAACCGAGCCGCCGTCTCAAGGCCATATCCCTCCAATCGTGATTTCTGTCCCACCGAGCTGCTTTCATCGTAATTCTTCGAAACACTCGATAATCAAGATTTAACATTCGTGCTTTGGCAGCTTTTTCAGATAATTGGACAATTGCTTCCGACACCCAACTATTTCCTATTAGTATACTCTAGTATGGAAATGTATGGGACGCATTTCCTATTAGTATACTCTAGTATGGAAATGGCTGACTTTTGTAAGGATATCTTTAGTTTGAACGAGTATTTATCCGTTCCGGAGCTCTCATTGACATTCATTTCAGCAGTGGTGTATCAATAATACGATTTGAAATGCGCTTATTGTTCCCGGATCTTTTAATCTGAAAACGTTTGGGATTTCTTACGACTTTTCAGCGTTTCAATAAAAACTGCTATCAAGTACAAAACTCTTCCAGCGACGACTGACCAATATACAGTCAATCTGATATATTGCTTATCCGGAGAGTTACACTAGATATCTTGTACGATGCATGTATTAGTCTCATGCTGATCGGCAAACGAAGGCTTAGAAGCCATTGGCGCACTAGAACCCGATTCCATATTTGCCAATAAACGAATTCATCATAATCTACGCGCGTATTCCAGTTTCCCCCGATTATATCACCTCTCGGTAAAGATGTCGTTAATAGTTGCCGCACATAGAACTTGTGGCATCTGCGTATAAAGTTGGAGCATACACTGACGACCGAAATATTGCAGAATTTTTCTTTGAAACGCGCGTGGGCCATACGTTCATTTATTGGCTTCCACACATTTAGAATGGATCGAGCCTTTTCAGACATGACAATCGCTACGCCATTTTGCGAGTTATCCGAGACTCCATAGTGATATAGCCAATACTTTTGCTCGAAACTACGTTTAATAATTATAATTAATAATTACTTGAAAGCCGACATGAGGAATACAGACTTCCGACAAACAAGCCACATCCACGCAGTATTTAGAAAGAGTGTGAAGAGTGATCGCTTGGCTTGCAACGTCTGTAGACGTTCCAAGCCGCTATAGCCACCATCTCGACGTGCATATAAAGCGTAATTATGGTTACTTTCTTTCAAGGTCACATTTTTTGCATAAATATTTTAAGCTATCAACAAAAATATAGTGCTGCACGAGTCGTCACTTTTTAATTATGGACTGTTGCCAAGACAAAATTATTTTTGTTTAAACCAGTTGGATGGATAGGGAGGGGTGTTCTGTGCATTAAATCTGTGTTAAAGGTATTTATGTAAAAAAGTATTTATGTGAACTGAACGATCTTAGCTCGTGGCACATCGAGAAAAAGCATATTAGGAAGTAAGTATCTCTCTAAATTTCTACTACGCAGGTTCCAGTAGTGTCCGGGATATTCGATGTTCCGTCATTGTTATGTTTAGATTCAAAAAACTCTTCTCAATCGGGAGAGACAATCTTTGACGCTTTCAGCGAAATTTCCACTCTTATATGATTTCGCTGAGCCATTGGTTGCTTGCGAAGTAGTCAGGAAATATCGCCTATTCGCTGTCGCTGTTCCCACTTTTAAAGTCATCTTCCTAGTACTAGCTTTTGTCCCTTTTCTCGACAAATTGTGAATCTACTGAGCTGCCGGTAATTAGCATTTTCTGACACGGCGTTAGTGCAGTTAAAGCGTGTCATTTGAGACCCACCTTGCTTGCTGTCGATCGGCCGGTCGTTTATCCCGAAAGTCGATTTGGAGTCGGTCTCGGGAGCCGACTTTAGCGGACTTCCAGCAGTCGAAATTCCCAAAGGTTTTGCTCGTTGTTAAAAGCGTGTTTAAGTGTGTTATCTCAGCGTGGAATGTGCCAATTACCCCTGATTGTTTTAACTTGAGATAGTGAAAAGATATTGATGTTGATGTTGTTTGGGAAACGCTGCGTTTTGTGAATTTCGTTCCCATCTTTACTTTGACCATAAAGTGGTCTGACCCATGGACGTCACTAGTTTCTGCGTGATGTGCACGTCTGGTACAGAAGTACAGAAGCACCTAGAACTCTTCCATCGATGATTGACCAAAATGTAGTCAGTCTGATCTGGCGAGTTCCATGGAAGATGTTGAAACAGTAAGGCCATCGTCTAAACCTCTTTCTTTCTATAGTTTAAATCCATATACCATTGAGTTGATTATGCTTCAAATCACCCTTATTCATATCCAGGTCATATAAATATTTGCCTTTCGTTCAAAATTCATATCTATTATATGTTATAATAATCAAGAGTTTATTCTGTCATAGTTATTTCAGTTTCTTTGTTAATATGATTTAATTTTTCAGATGAATTGTTCAAATTTTACAATATTTTCAAATTATAATTTTTAATCGAAAATTTTAATATAAAATTTGTAAAGAATGGCTGAAGGAAATGTAAATCGGAAAACATCGCTTAAAATTAATAATACCCGCATTGCTGGTTTATATGATTTAAAACAAACTATTGGAAGAGGACATTATGCAGTTGTGAAACTTGCCAGTCATGTTTTCACTGGAGAAAATGTTAATTTTGCATTTTTTTTTGCACAATGTATTTTATTGTAATACATTTTATGTTATATTTTCCACTATTTTTTTTTTTCATTATTTTTTACTTTCTTACAATTGAAAATTGCCAAATTGAATAATAAACGGTAGTAAACGGAAACATAGAAATTATTTGGAATTCATTACTTTGTCTATGATTGTTTAAGATTTTTCCACTTCACCTTTTTTATAAAGACATAAAGACACTTTTGGCAAGAGTAGACTTGTCATCAGAATGAAATTCGGATGGTGTGCTGCGTCTCTTTGTACTTCTATCACAAAGTGGCTCTTCGTCGAAGGGTTATTTTCTTAGGTGGAATCAGCCGAACTAGGGTTGGTTGGTACTGTAAAAAGGAGGAAGACATGGTTAAACTATTGGTATAAGATTTTGTGATTACATTCGCAACTATTTCATAATAAAAATATTATTGTGGATAAAAATTATTCTTGACAGTGGATTAATTAACTTTCCAAGTATTTAATCCTTTTAGCATTGTTTGCGAACATTTATTGAGTTGCCAAGTTTTTATGTACTTCTCCTTCACCTGCAGATCTAGATGAATATAGGTTCCGATTTTTTCTTAAATTGTTCTTTCTTCCTATTTTTCAGGTGGCTGTGAAAGTGATCGATAAAAATAAAATGGAGCCAAAAATGCATTCAAGTCTCATGCAAGAGGTAGGTATGTTTATTGTTTATTGTAATAATATTTTCTTTATTTTTGCTATAATTTTAAATAATTATTTTAATAAAATATTTTAGGTGCGTTGCATGAAACTGGTCCAACATCCAAATATAGTACGTCTTTATGAAGTAATTGATACAAATACCAAATTATTTTTAATTCTTGAACTTGGTGATTATGATATGTATGAATTTATTATGAAAAATCCCGATAAGGTATTTTCGTTTATTATTCTGAATCTTGTTTCATCGTCAATTTAATTATAAAGCATTTTCTGTGGGATGGATACAAATGGGGTCTTCAAAAAATAGTGGAAAAAAGTTGTTTCTCTTTCTTCACTAAAGTTCGCATATTAAAATATAAAACTTCTCCTTCACCTGCAGGATTTGGATCTAGATTAGGAATTAATTTGCAATTTGGCCAAAACCGAGATATAAAATGTTTTCAGGGATGTCCTGAGTCGGTTGCCCAACAATATTTCTGCCAAATAATAAAAGCAATTGATTATTGTCATAAATTACATGTTGTTCATCGCGATCTTAAGGTTTTTTTGTATATTATATTAAATTATATTAAATTAATAACAATTGTTTAAATCTAAATTTTAAACGGAAGCTGAATAATTCAAATTTATTTGATTAAAAATTATTTAACTTATTTTAGCCCGAGAACGTTGTTTTTTTTAAAAAGCTAGGAATGGTGAAGTTAACGGATTTTGGGTTCAGTAATCAGTTTACTCCTGGTGAGCAATTGGCTACTTCATGTGGGAGTTTAGCATATTCTGCACCTGAAATTTTACTTGGTGATGCATATGATGCGCCAGCTGTTGGTATATCTTTCTTTGGTTTCTAATGCTTTTATTTTTTTAAGTGAGTTATATGAGTTATATAAGGTGATCTAGCGAATGTAGATTCGTATCATCTAGCGAATAATATTAACATCTTATTTTAATTTAATTATTATTATTGGTATAAAATCTGATAGAAGGAAATTCAAGATATTCAAGTGGTATAAAAAGTAAATAATAAAAGTAAATAAGTAAATAATAAATAAAAAAAAGTAAATAATAATATTCAAGTTTACATAAATTAAGGTTTATGAAAAATTATCCGTTATTTTTAGATGTTTGGTCCTTAGGAGTTATTTTGTATATGTTATTATGCGGACGATTGCCTTTTCAAGAAACAAATGATTCAGAAACTTTAACAAAAATACTTGATTGTAAATATGTTTTACCTGATACATTATCAAACAGTGCGCGTCAGTAAGTTTTTGATCATTTTTTTTTTCTGATTACTAAAGTTTCAATTCAAAGTTATTTTCAGATTATTATATTATTATATTTTTTCAAATCTTTGTTTACTTTTTCTTTCAAGCTTTATTTTCATCATTATTAAACGATCTTGATTTATGGAACTATGGCTTTTGAATTTTTTTCATTTTTTACGTTGTTTCAGCTTAATCTTTCGTATGCTGGTGAAAGATGTCAATAAACGAGCAACTTTAGAAGAAATAATGGAAAATCCATGGGTTAAAGCTGGCGAAAGAGGTTTAGATGAAGTGTTGCCTTTGGTTGGACGTAATGCTCTCTCGGAAAGTGCACATTCCATGATCATTGAGCAGATGGTTGCTGGTGGTGTGGCTACAGAAGAACGAATATTCAGGTTTAGAGGTTTTGATCATTTTTGGATATCTTCTTTTTTGTAATTTTACCATTTCATTCGATAAATGATAAATCTCTAATTGATATCTTTCTAAGTAATTCACTGCATCGTCAAAGATAGACTAACATCGTCTTTATGAAAATTTGCCCATAGTTATTGTTTTTCAGATCCTTAATAGACAATGAATATTCGTACATATCTGCAACTTATTATCTCTTGGCCGAGAAAGTCTTGGCTGCGCAGCGCGAAGCAAGGGCTCAAGAAATATTAAGTGCGGAAAGACCACCTTATAACGATCCCATGGATAAGAGAACGGATGCAAGGTTAATTATCTAGCAGTTTATTCCTTTCTTTTAATCCTTGAAAGATTTTGTAACAATTTTTTCCAAATTTTAAGTTTGAATTTTAAAAAATGTTTTTTAAATTTAAAAATTCTTAGGCCTAAATAGAGTCTAATTTCTTTAACTTCTTTTGTATCAAAATAAAGGAGTCGTGATTGAACGGTAAAGCAAAAGCTTGCGGGCTTCTACTTTCATTCTTTATTTCTTGAGCCATCAATATTGGCTTTTAATCATCTTCTTGCCCATTCCTGTACAGTTTTCTTATATTTCTTTGTAGTTACCGCCGTCTAATTATTTGAATCCTTCTATTGTCAATAAACCATCGATGCTCTAAATCGATGGTTAATGTTTTATCAACCAATTTTTTATTAATTAATATTTTATTGGTCCCCTAACTAATAATTTTCTATATATCAACTCAAAGGAGTTTTTGCATTCGGCATTCAACAACTCAGAATTGAAAAAAAGATTTGCTTCAAACTATATAAGTTTTAGCAATTTATGGTTATTTTAGCACAGCTTCAGTATCAGTAAACAGTAACTGCTCGCATTGTCGAAGTCGATCTAATTCATGGCGAGGAACATTACCATCGCGTGCATGGTCAATTCTAAAAGAAGAGAGTGAAGAGGAATTATCTAGTTATTTACGTACTTCATCACGACAATCGAGGTTCTTTTGTTTTTTAATCTTTTTAAATCTTTTTCAGCTTGTAGTGTCACACGAAAAATTTTCATATTTTCTTATTTTCTATTGTTTTCATGTTTTTCATATGGATGATTTTTTTTCATTATTTCTTGCACTACTATTTTGTATTCACTAATTCAGTTGCATTTGCTTTTACGTTTGCCTGCATTCTAATATTTTTTAATCATTTTAATATCATCCCTTATTTTTTAATTTTGATTTTGGCTTTTTTCTCATCTACAAAATTTTTTACACTTTTTCAGCATTCTTTTTGGCATTTTTCCTGTGATAGCAGTAGAATTCCAATACATATAAATAAAATTTGAACAAAATTAATTTACTAAGGATTGTCAAAATAATTTTGGTATCAAAAAATATCTCTTCGTTGAATAATAGATTAATAATAATAATTTTGCCATTGAAAATTCTTTAACAGCGTACTGAGTTCTTCTAATTCAGTTAACAAAAATTTAAATTCTTTAGCAATTATGGGAAATTGAACACGAATACCTTGCCAAAATTGTCCTTGGAGATTAAATGTGATAAATCGGAATGTCAAAAAAATAATTTTGGATTTTTATCAAGATCGATTTCTTCAAAAGATCTGCTGCGACGTATTTGTAATCAGTTAACTGGAACTCGAAGGTTTCTTTCAGCTCAAATTGGCAAAAAGCTTGAAATTGAAAATCTTCAGTATTTATCGAAACGTCCGTCTTTATGTTTATTTGAAAGAATAAGAAATTTTTTGAATTTATTCTTTTTATCTAAAATAAATTGAATAATATTTTGCAAAATATTTTATTGTCAAAAATGATTTTTCATTTTCACCAATCAGTTTTAGATCACTTGAACTTAAAAAGTAAAAAAATGAAAAACTGAAGAAAAATTTGAATTTTTTGATAATTTTTTTCTTATTAGAGGGGATATTTTAAGTCATTTAAGCGAATTTTCTTTTTGGTTCAATTGTTGATTAAAGGAAATTTTTTGGTATATTGGACCACAGAATGCTTGAAATCTTTCCATGATGAATCTTTATTTTATGATATTACCTTCGTTTGCATGCTCCATTGCCTGCTGGAAAATATGCTTGTTTTTAAGTTTATTACTATTATATTATTACTATTTTTAATTTTTTGATTTATTCTGAGTTTGAAAGAGTAGGAGTTGAGTTTCTATTATTTATAGGTATTTTAAATATTTTGCATGGTTGATTATAGTACATATTATTCTTTAAATACGTTTTCAAAATCAATTTTCATTCAGTTTAATTTATAACTGCTCAGTCTCGCAGTTTATCAAAGTGATGAAATTTATAGAAACTCATCACCATCTGTGTCGATGGTTGCTGCACCAAGTGAATCGTCCGAGAAAATTTCACGTCAAGCAATACAAGAATTGCTTGACTTTTCACGTTTGAATATAGCTGGCATTCATCACCGCGCTGCTTCGCCTGATAGTCGCATAAGTAGTCGAAGTTCTAGTCCACATAGTTCGAGTGGCCGTACTAGTCCAGGTATGTTTCTTTTCCATATATAAAACAGTTGAGAAGTTCTAGCCGTTATTCTTAGATGTAATACATTTGATCTCAATACATAGTTTTAAATAACAGCTATCATTCATGATAGTTTAGCAGTATTAAAGTAGATCAGTCATATCAACCATATGTTTAATTTGAACTGATGAGTCGAAATTTATTATGTTATGCATTTTTCGTTTAAATTTTTCTTTTCTTTTTTTTCTATGGATTTTATTGTTTGAAAATATTAATTTTTTTTTTATATTTAATGTTTAATGGTTTTGTTTTATGTTTCTTTTTATAAATTAATAATTAATATATATGTTCACATTTTATGTGAAATTCGTATTTTTTGTTGTATCATTTTTCAGCTGTACGGTTTAAATCATCATTGCCAGGTGCTGGAGGATTGCGGAAATTAAGTTCGTCACCTCATTTATTGGGAATATGCGAAGTAAATTGTAGTTTTTGATTGTTTTAGTTTTTATCATGCTTTTCCTATTTTTAATTTTTTATTTTTTTCTCTTAAGTTGTTATATAATATATATATATATGTTGAGGTTTTTGCACAGGATCTTTATTTGAATTAAAAATTATTATGAATTTATTATAAAAAAATTATTGTTAAAAATTTGTATTGCGCAGGAGTCTGAAGAAACAGACATTGTATGTGGTCTGGAGGCTCGAAACACTCCTAATAGGCGAAGCGCTTCCAGCTCTTCAAGTTTTATCCCTTCGATGCGACGGCAAGTCGCTCATATAGAGGTTTCTAAATTTTTTCCAAGTTAAAAAAGAAAATAGAAAAAAAGCATATTTCTACAAAACTTTTTCCAACAGTTTTCACAATTACTGGTTAGGCTGGCTCCAACGGCTACGAAGGTAAGACGCTTCCAATTCGGCGCTGTGTGATGCCATCGTCAACAGTAATAGAAGCCATTCTTTTTTCCATCGTCTAGGTCCATATATTGCTGGTACACCTATTAAAGATTTTTCCTGACCCTATCAGTCCAGGTCTGATATTTTTATTTTATTTATTCCCATAAAACTAAAGTAAAGCATTTGGTTTTCTTTCTGTATTTTTGTGAATTCTTGTAAAACTATGATATGCATATGCGATATACATTTTGGAATTCCTATATCGTATTAAACTATTCATATTTTTAAGGAAATCAATTTTTTAGAGCGTATCTAAGGACGGTTGTGTATTATCAACTCCTTTAACATACAGTAAAGTTCGTATGATTCGTCCTCGTCAAGCAATTGTTTCACCAGATATGGCACGTCGATATGAAATCCGTAATTCTCATAACTATTCTAATCGCACAAGGCGTAGTACAAGGTTTTACTAATAAATGGATTTGTTAATATTTTATTCCTTTTTTTCCATATGCCTATGTGTTATGAGTTTCATAGTTATGACTTAATTAATTAAAACTTGTGCATTTAGATGCATTATTTGTTAAAAAATTTAGGCGAGATCTTATTTTTATTCGTATAAAATCTTATAAGGTAACGTAACTTGACTTTTTGATTATGTCGCTTTAAATATAATCTAATGAATAGAAATTAATAAAGCACTATAAAGAACAAGCCGAGAAACATTGTTAGATAAGTGTTTGAAAGAAAGTATTTTAAAAGAAAGTAAATGTGAACAATCTAATTATTCGATTTCATTATCATAATTGCTTTTAGTTTATTTCTAGTTTCTTTTTCTAAATAATCTTTTATTTATTGTTCTGGCATCATGTGTTTGATTCATATGAATAAAAAGCAATTTAGAACTAAAAAAATATTATAATTATAATTTCCTTTTTTATATCAGCTGCTCATCAAGTGAAACGTCTGATGAAGATATCACTGAAAGACGCTTAAGCATAATTGTGTCGAAAATTTGTAAACGTAGAGGTGATGATCATGACAACGATGATGATAATTCAAGAGGTTACTTCATTTACTTCATTTAAATCTGATTTTTCCAAGAAATATGGTTGATATACATTTATTGTCATCGACCATGTTGATTCTACTAAATTTGCTTTATATAATTTAAATAAAGTTTTTCGTTTAGATGGCAGTGGTTCAGTAAGTAATATCGGCAATGTATCTTTTAACGTGACGGAAAGTAGCTCTTCTCAAAATAAGAGTGATAGATCTCAACAGATGAATTCGACTTCAAGTATTCTTCATATTCATAATTCATTTGGTTCAAAATTTATTTTCTTATTTTGAATTGGCAGGTTCAACTCCATCGAGTGCTGGTCAGAAATCCCTTTTACATCGAGAGCACTGTAAATCGTTGGAAGTACTGAGATTTGCAGTTGCAACACCACTTCATCCTATAGAGGAAATTCCATGTATTTCCAATTCTATTTCAAGGCAACTTTTTCTTTTTTATTGATTTTTGAATTATTATTGTTTATTTTGGTCTATTTATTCTTTTTTTAGGATTACTTCGGCTGTTTTAATTTCTGATAGACATTTGGCTGGCTCATTTGTTCATATATGATGATGATGCCTTAATTTGCGTTGTTTTTATTTTTTAAGGTTAGAATTTACCGAAAAAATAGCCCAAGAAATTTGTTGTCTCCGAAATAATTTGGTATCAAACAAGAATTTTTCATTAGATATTTCTCCTCAAGTAATTTTACGGTTTATATCGAATTCAACTCGCATTATTCGTAATTCGAAATCGTTATCTAATGTCCTCCTACAGTCCACACATGAAAGTTATTTTAAAGAAGTTTGTTTATCTTTTTTTAAAATATTTTAAAAAACGATATTTATCAAATAAAGTTCAAAACAAAAGGTAATTTGTTCCAAATGCGTAAATAATAAAAATTTCAAGAAATCATCGCAGCTGTATTCAATTTCTTTTTAATTTAGACATTTTCGGACGAAGAGATCGATTCATTAAGTTGTACGAGTACTGATTCTAGCTGCTCTTCAGATATATGTTTTTATGAATCTTATTCAGCTGATCTTAAATTGCGCTACAATATTCACCTAAATTGTTGAATATTTCTGGTTGTTGATTTATATCTACAAATTATTTTTATTATTTTTTTTTTTTGTATGATTCAATGGGCATTTCATTTTTCACCGAAAAATGAGAGTTATTGATTTTGCACTGTCCAGAAATTATTCGAATATATTAGAAAAATTTAAATTATTTCGCCTTAGTCTTTTGAGAATAGAGGAACTGGCGATTGATTAGGCACCGAGAGTGGCAGGTTTACTCCTGTTAAGGCAAAATCATGATGCTTGATCTCTGAGCAGCATACTATGAGTCAATATTAGTGGCAAGAATTGATCTTCCGTGATAAAGCAAAATTCTTTTCATATTTATACTTGTCGTCTGTAAAATTTCATTCGTTTAAGAAGAGTCGAACTTCATATGCCTTAGAGCCACTCTAATATCTAATGCTCAGGCGAAAGATGAAATTAAATTCGGTTTTTCCGTAATTTAAATATTTTGGATAGCAGTAGCAGTGGTGAAAACTCTGTGGAAGCCTTACATTCAGCTACAGCCCTGTTATACGACTGTGAAATCTTGGCAGTAATAGAAAAATGTATCAGCAAGGTTATCCCTCTTTATCTTTGGCTATGTGTGCTTGAAATAGATCCATGTGTTCGCATCCATGTGCGTGCAGATAAATTGTCGTAATTACATTGCTCTAATACCACACATATTAATGATATAAAATTTATTCGCCCGCACTATTTTGGCAAGTTTATTCTCTTCAAAAGATAGGAATCGAATCCACAATGCGTGAGGCTATTACAAGGGGAGACAGGATGGCTCAGTGTGTTGCTCAATTGGGAGCGCCGGTGCTGACGTTCGATTCCCAGGAGTAAATCTATCCAAAAATCCCGGTGGTGCTGGCGACTTACTTGTACTTCTATCGCTAAGGGACTCCTTGGCGTATTTATTCAATGCGACAAGCCAGCGGAACGAGTTTAACCATTAATGGTGAGGACTTTTAAAAAATTAAAAAAAATGGGATCCTTGGCAGACAGTATTGGTTTTAGTTAATTTTGAGCACTACACTGGAAGAATTGGAAGAGTTGAAGTATCTTCACAATGTGTACCTGTTAGAAAAGTATGTATTAGAAAAATAAGATAATTTAAAATCAGCGTCACAATTTCAGGAATCTGTTGCTATTTTGAATTTTGGATTTATTATTATTATTCAGTTGAATTGACTTTTTAATTAGAATACATTCCAGCAAAACCTGATGAATGTTGGTGCTCAATTTCTGCACTGTTTTTACTTTATTGAAATTTTTTATTTTTTCGCATGATTTCATTTTTCAAAATTTCCTACTCACATTTAGGAAGAAAGTTGTTGATTATTTTACCAATTGAATTTGCACCTTGAACTTTATTAAGTAAACTTTACTAATGTTATTGTTAATTTTTGTATTTTGTATTAAGTTTGAACATAAGAATTGTAATATTTTCTTATTTGATCGATTATATTTATTGTTTTGAGGAAAACGTCCGACCAGTTCAGTTACTCTTATTCTTTCGGAAGCAGTATAATTGCTGAAAATTTTTTTTTGTATTTCTTTTTCGATTTTCTCATCTGCTTTTTAAATTTTTTTTTGAATTTTTAGTCATTTATTTTCTTAGCACTAAATTTAGATTCACTTGTTCAAAAATATTAAATATTCCCCAGAATGTAAATGGTTTAGAATTGCTTATGGTTTTGCCGTTTTTCTGATAGTTTTTTAAGTTATTTTTGTCATTGCTGCTATATTTTTATGTTTTTATTATTTTGTATATGTAAGGTGAAGTTATTATTCCTCTAATAGATCATTATTTTAACTAACCATTTCTTTCGCCACAAAAGCATCGTTTGGGAATAATAATTCCCCAACAATCTGAATTTTATTTTATTGAGGTTTGTACTCAGGAAAAAATCACTTGATGAGTTTATCGCTAATTTGGTAGTGATGGGAAGCTACGATGCTCTATTTTTTCTTCATTGTTTCGGTTTTTATAGTAAATTCTACACAAGAATTGAAAAAATGTTTGGTTCGGTGCGTTTTGCATTAATTATTTCTGGTGGATGGAGCATGTCTGCTTATGTTTATTTTATTACTTACAAATAAAATTTTGAAAATTACGATCAAACAGTGGTGAAAAGCGCTTTGGGCTTGGTTTATAACTTTTATATATTTATAAACCCTAAAAATTCAGTTTAAAAATCAGGTTTTGTATCAAGTGTTATGCACGACTTATTTTTATTTCCTACAACTGGTAGTAATCTGCATAGGATGCAGCAAGGTGTATAAGCATTTTCTAGTTTGAATTCTCTTTTTTTCAAGTGATGGCAGTTAAAATTTGTGGTTCACTTGGCTTCAAAGTGGGTAATCGAGTATTTTGGCGAAAATTTTCAATGATGCGTAAAACATGTTTGGAATGGCCGAGAATGGTTTGATTTCTTTGATTTTTTATTCACATTTTTTTTATTTTTTAAGGTGCAAAAATTTTCAGTGATAATCTTATTATTTTAAAAGTTGACAATGAATCGAGTAGAAGTTGTGGTTTCCAATGTTTTTATTTTTTTTCTTGTATTTTTCTTAAGATTCTGATTCAGTTTTTCATTGGCTGAGTTCAGGATTCCACTATAGGAGCACAACTTTTGGAAATTGAAAGATATTGGAATAATCAGGAATCTTCAGTACCAAATTTTGATGTTGGTTGTTTGATTTCATTATTAAAAATTTTGAGTGGGAACTTATTTTTTTGCCATTTTAAAATGTACTTCTTAATGAGTCTTTAAATTAAATCCATGGTAGTTATTGATTAAATAATTTGTGAATGTTTACAGTTCCGCAAACCTAAAAAATATATATTGGCAATGTTTCCTTATACATCTGGCAAATTGCATATGGGTCATCTGAGAGTATATACTGTATCGGACGTTCTCGCACGGTATTACAGGTTCGTTTTCAATTTTAAATATTCTAGATATTAGGTTTTCTGGAATTTGATGAACATAGAATAATTTATTTTATTCGAGTTTTTAAAAAAATTTTTGGATTTTTTTATTTTTCTAAGTAAAATAATCTCTTCTAACGATTTATTGCAATAAATTTAATGTTTTACATCTTCTTTTAATTTGATATTTGGTAAATATTAGATTAAATATTAAGATTAAAAGGATTTAACGTTATTCACCCAATAGGCTGGGATGCTTTCGGATTGCCAGCTGAAAATGCAGCTCGTGAGCGGGGTGTTGATCCTAAAGAATGGACCTACAGGTCGAATTTTATAATGAAAAACGATTTTGAAATATTCATATCCGTTAATTTAGATGTTATATATTCCTATAAAAGAAAATCTTTCTTTTTCAGTCATATTATGTATAATCTAAATTATAAATTCCAGTTATTCTGAAAAAAAGCCCATAAATACTTTGTGTGATTATCTTGCAAAGCCCATAAATACTTTATCTTGCAAAAAAATAAAAGATCTGAACCAGTCCAATTTCATCGCACATAGTGAATGAAATTATCTAAATACCCAATGAAATGAATATTGCTCTGCTCAAAATAGTGTTTTGAATTGAATCATTCATTTTGAAAGTTAAATTAAAAAAGTTAAATTTCCTTTCCTGCTATTCTTTTATTTATTCAGTAAAATTCATTGGAGCTACTGAAATTTATCTACTTTTATTATTGTTTTCATTTAAAGAGAATTTTAATTTAACTGTTTTTTTTTCAGTAACATGGAAGAAATGAAAAAGCAGTTTCAACTTGCTGGAATTCAGTTTGATTGGGATCGAGTTGGTAGATCAATTATTATAAATTATTTTAAATTATTTCTGGTCATATATTTGCAATAAAATTTTTAAAATTAGCGATCTTAGGTAGATCTTTCGTATCATTAGTTTTATGGTTAATTGGTGCTTTTTTGGACTGATTTGGACTGATTTATGTTTTTTAAGGAAATAGCCACTTGTTCTCCTGATTACTACCGATGGACTCAGTGGATTTTTTGCCGATTATTTGATCATGGACTTCTTCGACGATCGGTTTCTGAGGTATTCAAATTTGCTGTTATATGTTTAGTCCAAAAAGAATTTAATTTTTTAATCGATGAATTGCAAATCTCTTTTTATTACCATTTTCATCAATTTTTGATGATTTTTATGATTTTCTATTTCATTTCATTATATGATTTATATATCATTATATGATTTGAATGATTTTTTATTATGTTTGCTGTTTTGACTGTTTTTCCTGCAGGTAAATTGGGACCCTGTTGATCTCACTGTTCTGGCAGATGAGGAAGTTAATGAAGGACGTTCTTGGCGATCTGGAGTTCTCGTGAAAAAAAGGAAATTAAAACAGTGGCTAGTAGAGACTCCAAAGTATGCCAAGGTTAACCACATTCTCAAATTTATGATTGAAGAGTATTTTTCAACTTCAGCTTCAATAAAATGGTTAAATTTCTCATTAATTTTAATAAAGTTTGGATTTATCTGGATTTGAATTTTTTTCTTATATAAAAAAAAGCATAAAAAATTGTTCAGCACTATCGTTCGCAGAGGTAATTTGTCTTCTCTTTTGTAATTAACAAGTTCTTTTACTTTTATATTGTCATATTGTTATATTTAAGTCACAATTAATGTTATCATCTATAGCGTCTTCATCAAGGACTTAATGAAATGTCACACTGGAAGTATGTTGCAGAGATACAAGCGAACTGGATTGGAAAATGTGACGTTTGGCGTTTTCTTCTTCCACTGAAGGTAAGTAATTGTAAAATTTGCTGATTATCTTCTATGCCAAATATTTCAAATAGTGCCATGCTATGAATTTCACAAAAAAAAAAACAGCATTTCTTATCCAATATTTATTTTTTCAGTCAGAGTATGACAAAATAATTGACGAAACCTTCGATTTGCGCATTAAGGAACCAAATTCTTTCGTCGATGCTCATGCTGTTTTTATTAAACCCGGACATCCTTTAGCACCATTTTCATCGTCGAGTTCATGTAAATTGTTTACTTATTTTTTAACGGTATTTATTTATTCTTCATTATTATTAATGAAATCATTCGCAATTTTCCTCATTTCTATTTCTTCTATTGTTTCTTATTGGTTTCAGATTTACTCGATGAAAAAGTCTTTAATATTGCTACAAGGCGTTGGATACCAATAATATGCATCAGTGATTATGATGATTCTGATAATGAGTTTTTTCTTGATGCCAGATTTGCTTCACAGAAAAGCGAATTTGATATAAAAATCACTCAGAAGCATGGCATAGATATCATTAATACTGAAAAATTATTATTGAGTAATGAGGATATAATCGAAATTGCTAAGGTTAATTTTTACAATATATTTTTTCTGGTTGACTTATTCAAATCAAATCTATTCTGAAAAACCAGCCGTATCGGAATTGATAAAACCTATGTTTTGACGACATTTCCGCCATTTTATATGGGTAGCCCTGTTTATTTAAGAGTTTACTTATTTAATCAGATTTATTTTTATTAGTTTATATCTTTTATTTTTTTCAGGAAGGAAATTATGGTGGTTATGAAACTAGCCGCATACTTAAAGATTGGGTTATATCTAGGCAAAGAAAATGGGGTACGCCGATACCTGTTATATTAAGTGAAGATTCACAGTTGGCGGTAATTGCCAGAGACGATCAACTGCCTGTTAATCAGCTTGGTAAAAAAGTACACTGTGAACGGCAAGTTTTTATAAATGATTAAATTAATTAATTAATTATTGTGATTTATTCATTCATTTTTTATCCATCGAGAAAATTTTATATATTTTATATTTTTTTCAGATTGCCTTCAGGCTATGGATACTGGGAAAGTGACACATTAGACACATTTTTTGATTCCAGCTGGTATTATCTGAGGTTGTTTTCAAATCTTTCTATGAAAGAAATATGCATTTTTAATTTGACTCATATTTCGGTGATAAAAATTCACTTTTTATATTATTTATCTACAATTATTTATGAATTCCTTAATTAACTTCCTTAAATTTTTCAGATATCTCGATCCCAAAAATGAAAAAGAGATTTTAAATAAAAAAAATTTGCGCCAAATGCCGGTTGATATTTACATTGGTGGATTAGAACATGGTGCAGTTCGTTTTAGTGTCAAATTCATCTAAAAATTCTTAACCATTTTTTATTCCACGAATATAATCTCATGAAATCTTGGATTTTCTTTTTCTTTAGGAATCAGGAATTCGATTTTCGAAAATCCTGGTGTTCCGTGATATGAGATGTCATGTGTTTATGCCATGTGCATTTGAAATGTGTTTTTAAGTAGAATGGTCCAAGTGAAAATTAAAAATCTGAAGTGATTTTTTTTTCAAATTTTCATATAAAACATGGTGTTTTCAGCTGCCGTGCATATGTTTTTTGCTCGTTTTGTTTGTCATTTTTTACACGACATTGGGATCATACACACTAAAGAACCATTTGATATTCTTTTAACTCTAGGAATAGTTCGAGGTCGTACTTTTGTTAGAGTCGATAATGGTCAATATGTACAAGAAAAAGATGTATTGAACTCTGGTTTGTTTTCTTTATTTATTTATTGAAAACCAGCCAAGCAGGGTGAGAACGCCATGTGCTTTTAATATTAATAACAATAGTTAAAAAAAACAAATAAAACAAATATTAAAATTTAATAACAGAAAAATAGAAATTATGACAAACAGTTTAAAGAGGAAATCGGAGAATAATATAATGTAGTATAAATTCGAAGTAACTGTATTATATATAGCCGGATGGAAAAGTCGAGATTTCATATTTCCTACATAATGTGAATTTTTTAAATAATGTAAATGGTATTATCTAATCTTTTTTTAAATATTTTTTAAATTTTTTAAATATTGCTAATGACATACAAGCTATATCATTCGGTAATTTATTCCAGTAATTAATAGCACGAATAAAGAAATCCTTGAATCCTTAGTTTAGTTTTACACATAGGTTTTAGTAATTTTAGCCCATTAGTTCTTGTTGGATCCAAATTTAACCTAAAATAATATTTTAACAATCTAGTTTAATATAACCATGCAAAACTTATATGTACAAATTGAATCTTGTTTAATTCGACGAACTGAGAGAGAATCCAGGTTGTATTGTAAAAGTTTTTTTGTATAACTAAAACTGCTATTAGGAGAGAGGCGTCGCATAAAATATTTTTGGATAAATATTTCTTCAATTATTTTACTTGATTTACGATATCTCGGGGAGTAACATGTAGTATTGTGGTCAAGAAGTGGCTGAACGAAAGCTTCGTACATTTTAATAAGAAAATCTTCAGTTTTATTCTTAAACGAACGAAAAATAAAATTTAGTATTTTTGAGGATTTCTTTACTATGGTTCTGTAATGAAGGTCGAAATCAAAATTTTCATCCATAATTATTTCAAGATCGGAAATGTGTGAGACTCTACTGATTAAATGTACTTTTGTTTCGATGGAGGATTTATTGGGTGGCTAAGTCTATAAATTATTAAACTATTTTTAGATAAATTATAAAAAAATTGTCAATTTTTTTAATGAAAGATATGTGTATCTTCCACCATCAACTTTTAATAATTCTAATTTCGTTCAGGTTCCGTTTTTTTGGATAAACATGACAATGGTCCGTTGATAAAGCGTTTTGAGAAAATGTCAAAATCAAAGTATAATGGTGTTAACCCTGTGGATTTGCTAGAATGCCACGGTGTGGATCTAACTCGGTTACAATTGTTGTATGCAGCTTCACCAAAAACTCAAATTGATTGGGATGATTCGGAAGAAAATACGAGTTCTTTTTATAATTTTATAATCGATTGTTATCACAATTTAATGTTGTCCAGATTTTATTAATTCATACTATTAATTCATATCAGGAAAATTTTTATTTGTTTTAATTTGCTGTAATTCACTAATTTAGTCATAAATAAATTGAATCGTTTTTGATTAACTATTTGTTAAATGTGGATACATTTCATAACTTTTTAATTTCCTTTTTGAAGATATAGAAAAATTTTTATGGTGCTTCTAAATAGATATATATTGATTAATTCATTTGCAGTTTTGAAAGGACTAATGAGATGGGTAAATCGAGTTTCATGGATCATTAACGAATATACGAAACAAAGAAGAAAATTTATAACAACATCAGATATTACTGATCCTGCATTTGAGAAGAATTTGAAACAAATTTATACATATTATGTACGAAAGGTTCGTCTTGCTTATCTCTCAGAATCAAATATTTTCAAAATAAAATTTTTATTTAAGTAAACTTCTTTTTATTTTTAATAAATGTTTTTTTGAATATTTATAATTAAATAAAAAATATAATCAATTTTTCGAAAATCAATTCTGAAGCAGTTTTTTTCCATATGAATTCATCACAGATGAATCTAATTTTTAATATCCAGTGATTATTTTTTCAAATTTTATTAAATATTGTCAGCGATTGTTTTTTTTCGATAACAAACAATTTAAATATAGTCTTGCGTTGAAATTTTTTTATTTCTAGGTGTCCGTTTTCTTAGAACTCTTACATCTTCACAATATGGCGATTGCAAATCTTATTCGATTTACTAATGATTTAAGGGTATAATTATCATTTTCTTAATTTTTTAAAATTTTCAATGATTTTTTATCATTAGTTAATTATTTATTCATTTGCTAAGTTTACACTGAAATTTGGCACTGAAAACTTATTAAAGGTATCATAGAGAATTCATACTTCATTAAAGTGGCCTGTACATTATATTTTTTTTGGACACTGTCGGGTCATTATTTGTGCTAAGAAAGAAATTTAATAAAATTACTTAGAATTTTTAGGTTTTTAAGTGGCTTATTATTAACTCTATCTGCCAAAAATTTTTCACTGAAAAGGAGGATAGTTTTATACTATAGCAGTCCTAAAACTATACTTCTGAAATATTCGCTTTGAAGCAGAAACATTTTTACATTTTCTTCTTGATATCGATATCATCTTTGGAATAATTATAGAAAATTGAACTTGTTGAATATTTCGGTCAAAGTAAAGGGCTTGAACGCTGCATTCACGCCTTGCTTATCATGATGCAGGTAATGATTTTTTTCGATTATTCTATTTTCTATTATTATTTTAAATACATAAAAAGACCATAAATTTTTTTCCTATTATGGAAAATTTTCGAAAAAATTTAAATATTCAACTATGGGAGCCAATGAAATAATTTTTAAGGCTTTTACACCCAACTTAGCTGCTGAACTGTGGGCAGCAGTATGTTCTGTGCCGACTATTAATTCGAACTTTTCTCGACAAGCAGTAATCACTGAACAATGTTGGCCTGAATTGGATAAAGATGCTGATGTTTATTTTGTTATTGAGGTTGGTGAAAAAGTATAAATAAAACATGAAGCAATAAGTTGATACTTCAAAAAATGTTTATATTTAAAGTTTTTTAACATATTCAACAAATAATGGATCATGTACCAAATCTTCATATTTTGAAATGCAAATCAAATTAGATGGTATCTATTATTTTAGTCCTATCTACCATTTGTCGCTAATTTAGACCCTTGGCACCGTTTGTGGAATGCAGTACATTCCAATGGAATTGGCTCAGAGAGTTGATTCAAATGAAGCATTAAAACTTGCAATGGAAAATGTCCACAAAGTTTTTTTTGAAGAAATTGCAAAGTACGGTATCTCCTTACAGTCTCACAAAATTAGGAAGCATAAAGGTTATTTTTCCTTAATTAACCCATCTACTTAGCATCAATACTTTATTTATTTATTGGCAATAATATTATATAAGTTTTTGCTATATTAGATATTCTTAGCTTAAATTTAAACCTAAGCCTAAGTTTTTAGAGCTGTCTTATTAGTTCTAAACCTTGATGGATTTGAATTGAATTTTATAATATACTGATAATATATAAATCGTGTTGGTGAACTTCCTATTTAGGGCTAAGTGCAGTGTTGACTCTATGTTTTGATGATAAGCTTACTGATGATCTTTTAATGGAAATGCTATCAAATATAGAGCGAATGAAACGATCAAATCGAAAAAAAATACTACTAAATAAATATAACTGTTAGTTCACCATTTCAACAGTTCATCGTTTGCTTTTAATTAAATTTTAATAAATATTTAAATGTTTAAGATAGAAATAAATGTTTTACTGATGTTGTGTTGTCATTATTATCTGCTGATGATCTTTCAACGTAATATTTATGATTATTTCAAATATATTAATTTTGGTTGTAGATAATAAATAAAAAGATGAATTACATCATTAGCATTCCAAAAAAAGTTAGCTTTTCTCTAGCAATAATAACATTAATTCACTTGAAATTCACTTGAAAATGAATTTGAAGTAGAGACCCTATTCGTTCAGGCTTTCAAATCTTTGTTGCTTGCATAGTATTATAAAATATGATAATAGAATATGGAATATGTATAACATTAATTCTCAAGAACTATCTTTTAATTTATTGCTGGTACTGCTATGGAGTGCTTTTAACATGTAATATTTTCAACAAAATTTTGTCTTCAAAAGTAACCCTTTTTTGTTCAAATATTCGTCATTTTTGGTTCTACTGGTTTTGTCTTTGAAGGTGAGACTGGTAGATCTGAACGCCACCCAACACTTTGATGAATTAATGAATAATATAAATTAAAATTAATGATTTGCTTCGATTGGTGTCTAACGCCATAGGTTCAATTCCTTCAGTTTGCCGGTAGTAAATGTGCCATAAATAAGTTAGGATAATTTTGCGTATACACATGAAATTATTACCTATGAAATTATGAAATTGTAAGAATTTCCGGTGGATGTTAATAGATTATTTTTGTCAAACTGGTTCTTTTAATTTCACAAATTTCTTTGACCATGTTTATTGCTTTGTTCGAGTAGAAAGTAACAGTTGTAAAGAAAAAAAGTGGGATGAATCAATGAGCCAATTGGTGCATGCACTATGAAAACATTTTATTTCGGCTGTATATTCATATCCGTGCAATTTAATGGTATTTTGATTGGAGAAGAATTTGAACTTCTTAATTTCTCGCCAAGGATAAATATAAAAAAATATGGATTGAATTGGTTAATATTAATTTGGTCGTTGGTGGGTGGTTGTAGGCTAATATTGGCCCTGCGACCGATAAAATAATTTCATAAATAAATCCAAAAAAAATTGACTGGTATGGATAAAATAATGTTTTCACTATTAATACCACCAGATCAACCTTAGAGCAGCAGTATTGTTTAAAATTTGCCAATGTGAAACTTTAACCAAAACTTTAATGGGCTGTTAAACCAACCAATAAAATAAATAAAAAGCTGATACTAAAGGTGATGAATCTATAAATGGTAATAAAATTAAGGAAAGGAATGTTTCATTAATGCCACAATTTTGAAAGGAATCAAAGAATAATAAAGAAATAAAATATTTAAATGGAATTCGGAATGCATCGCTCTGATTGCAGGGTTGTGGAAAACAATATTAGGAAAGTTTTTAGAAATATAATAAGATCGATAGATAACGGTGGGAATTGAAGGAGTTAAAAACTAAAATAAAAGAAAATCATGGGATTAAATTCACAGATTTAAATTCACAAAAAAATTTAGATTTAAAATTTTAAATTTAGAGAGAAGAAATTTAGATTGGCGACAACCAACCAGCCAAATTCGCGACAATCTTCTTTGTAAATTTATTGCACCATTTATTCTTTTCAAATTTATCTACTTTTTTGATTATTTGTTTTTTTCTAATCATTTCCAATACGTTTATGGTTATTTCAAATATAGTTACTAAAATTTATTTCATTTTTGATTATTATTTGGTGTCATTTAGTACCATTGATTCAATTCAATGTGCAAGCAAAATTATGCATGGAAATCTCTGAACCTTCAGCTGAAAATCACTTCTCTCCACAGTAAGAGATATTCTAACTGACATTGTTAGCAAATATTTTCGATAAAAATGTCGCTTTTAGAAAGAAAAAATATTTATAATATTTAAAATATTTACGAATATTTGAGAACCGAGTGGTGCGATGGTGTGGGGATTGATTATCAGCACAGGACTGGTTCCTTTACTTTGGAAGACAAAAAATCCCTCTGTGAATATCCAGTTTCATATGGAGCAATTTTGCTCAAATGTTGTTATTAAATGAAGTAATGAGATGGTGAGAAGTTTAAAAGACTTATTTTCTCCTTTATCTAACAGCTTTTACCATTAATGGTTAGGTTGACTTCACTAGCTACTAGTAATAAGCGCATTTCAAACCGTATTATTAAAGTATCTCTAACCTTATCTCAATGAGATAAACATCAATGACATCTCTGAAACGGCGAATGAATACTGGTCCCAAATAAAGGCATGCTACTTCCGTACTAGGATAAACTAGTAGGAAATGTGCTATTCCGTCTATATGCGTTCAGATTCTTTCCTGACTGTTCTGTCAGTCCAGGTCTTGATTAGTCCATCTCACTTTTGGCGTCACCCATCACACATTTTAGCAAGTAACGAATTATATGTCTTGTGCTGGGCGACAAAGAACGTGCCCTAACGAAGGCGACGCTCCAAGATGATACTGTTAATGCAAGTGTTTGAACGAAGGTGGATGCGGTCATGTTAGATTTTACCCACTCGATCTGTACATTATCAAAGGCAGATAACTTATTTAATATCCACAGCTCTCATTGGCTATGTTTCACAGTCATATAGCAAGATCGAACGAATTGCGGCTATATAGATCGTTTTTATACTAATTTCACAACTGCTCCATAAAGATTTCGCCAACCGGAAAAACGCATTTCTAGCTACCGCTCTCTGGGTTATAATTTCGTTTTTTGCTTGGCCATTCGATATTAGAGTGTAGATCAAAGATATTTAAAATCCTTCCAGAGGCGATAAATTTATCAATAAATTTAGAGGCAATAAAGTAAAATATTTTATCAGTTTCTCGTATATAGGACGAAAAAGCTTTCGTTATATTTACTTTAATTCCCGATTTCCGCTGCAGTTTTTAACATATTATTTGCATTTCATCATAACTGTCAGCAAAAAAGATATCATCAGTTATTCAAGATTCGATGCTCTGGACTATTTTGTGCATCTCTTGAATCCGATACGCGATGTCCATCATAGTTGAATATTGTAGGGTCCCCTTGACACCAGTTCTAATTTCGAAAGATTGTGTCAGTTCACCATATATTCGACGTACGCTGATAAAATACCTTTATGAGTCGAATGTTCTTCTCTGGAACGCCATCATGTACCATCACCCTCCAAAGTGCCGTTCTATCAATTGAATCGGAGACAACAGCAAACTCGTTAAAACATAACGATAGGTTGCAGATATTTGATGCGATGTTCCAACATGTTCCTTCATATGAATATCTGATCAGCACCGCGGTCTGATTCCAGCTTGATTAGGGCGCATCTTGCTGTCCCATAAAACATTATCAACATACGTCGGCTCAGGTTTGTGTATATGGGAGAACTGACAAACAGAATCCTTCGAAATAAAAATTTCTTCTACAGTATTCAACTATACGATAGAATGTATTATGGACAGCACTTGTCGGCACTCAAGGAGTATAATCAGTCCAGATCATCGTATCACAGATCTTGAATACGCTGATGTCAGCTTTTTTTGCTTACAGTTACGAGATGCAAATAATGCTAAACAACATGTCAGTAACTGCAGCGAGTCTCAGAATCTATGAAAATAAAACGAGTGTTTTCGTCTTATATACAAACTGATAAAATGCCTCCTTTTATAAATTCATTGCCGATTGAGGAAGTGCCCATTTCAAATACCTTGAATCCACTCTGTACGAATATATACTGAATGGGCAGCTAGAACTGCGTTATTCCGGTTGACGAAATCTTTATGGAGCCGAAATCACCATAAAAACAAAGGTCCGCTTCTAATAGCCACGATTCGTTCGATCTTGCTCTATGGCTGCGAGATATGGCCAATGAAAGCGCAGGATATTAATCATTTTTTATCTTTGACCATGTCTAAAGTATATTGTACGGGTTCGCCGATTGGATAAAATCAAGTATGATCGTATATACCTTCGTTCAAATACCACTTGCATTAGCAGTACCATCTCAAAGCGTCGTCTTCGCTGGTTACTGCACGTTCTTCGTCGTTCACCGCAAGAATTAATATGTATTTCGTTGTTTTTCCTGTTATATTTAGGTCAAAATCGAGATGAGAATATCTAGACCTGGACTGATAAGGTCAGAAAAGGTTTAAAACGTAAAACGTAGAGAAAACGATGGATCAAGAATATATGGACTTAAACGATGGAAAAAAGAATGGCTTCTATTATTGTCGACGATGACATCAGATTGGCTTGGCAGCTTGGAAAGTCTTACTCTTGTGGCTAGTGGAGCCAGCCTAACCAGTAATGGTGAGTGAGAGCTGTTGGAAGAAGAAAAAGAAGATAGCACAATTAGTTTTTTTAATGCCAAAAAAAAGAAAATTTTAGAATCTAAGATCTCAAAATTTGCGCAGTCATGAGACGAAACTCAAGCAAAAAAATTTCACGACGAAAGCGATGGCGTTGTTATCGGAAAAAATTTTCATCAACTTCACATTCTATCATTTAACAGGAGAAATCTTACAAAGATTTCAATTTTTTGTCATAAAATGCGATCATTTCACTTCAGCCCTCTACTTGTTTTCAAGTTTTTTTTCTCCACGTTGTGGATATTCTTGAGTGATCATTAAAAGACGAGTATGGCTGTGGACCTGCATTTCTCTTTCCTAGCGATTCTTTAGCAAAAACGTTTCGTAATGGAGTAATCAGTGTAATGAAATAGGCAAAACAGGTGGGTGATTTAGAAAAAAAGGATTAAAAAAAGAATTCGAATCGAAGTTCCACTGCGAAAATGAGAAAAGATGGATAGATTTTGGCATATCGGTTTATTTTCATTGATAGTCGAAAAGGTTAAATGAGCAATAAATACGATGGGCACTTAAGCTGTAAGCTTGAAAAAGTAATTTCTAATATGCTTACTTGCTCGAATCGATTTCCGATCTTGTAGATTTCATCTGCAAATGCAATAGGCTTATGTTT